TGGTAAACACAGCAGCATTTCTCTTAGGTTCAAACACCACAGTCTTGACCAGCATCCCTTCGGTCCACCCCAGCCCGGCCCCCAGCAGCCGTCTCTTCACCTCCTCCCGGAACCCCGGCAGCACCACCCGCAGCAGCAGCGGGCGCTGTGACTCTAACAAACTGGACTCTAACGAGCGTGGCACGCCCAGGTCAGTAAGGAGCATGCCTACAGGCACAACGGAGAGGACCTTGTGGATAAGCAGCTCGTCAGGGTCGATTTCTAACCATTCCGCCAGCCATTGGTAGTCCCGGATTCGCTCCAGTATGATTCTTGCTCCCAAACGTGGCCCCTTGGGTGTTTCTGCTGCTGGTGCTGCGGGTGTTGTTGCTGCCACTGTTGTTGGTGTCCCTACCTTGCTGTCAGCTGTCAAGTTATTCGAGTCTGAGTTAGGCGTTACAGCGACCGAGAAGGCTCGCTGGTGGTTCTGCTGCTGTTGGCAGTCAGAGAAAATCGAGTTAGCGGCTCGAGGTGATTTTTGACTCGAGTCAAGAGTCACCTCCGACTGCGTTCGCAGGTGCTGCTGTTTCTGCTGCTGCTTCTGGTCAGAAAAGATCGAGTTGGCGGCGTCAGATCTGCTTTGGGGCGTAAGGGATGCTGCTGCTGCGGCAGAGGAGGCGGAAGTACCAGAAGGGGATTTTCCAGAAGGCGTCATAAAGGACTGCTTAGGGGGGAAGAGTGCTCTGAGATCCTGAAGCCCGTCATCCCATATGATACAGTCATCCTCGATATTGTCACTCTCGTTAGTGTCAGAGTCGTAGTCATCATCGTCGTCGTCCTCCTCCTCCTCTTCCTCTTCCTTCTCCTCTCCCTCCTCTTTCTCGCCCTCCTCTTTCCCCCTCTCCTTCACCTCCTTCCCCTCGCCACCACCTTCGTTTTTGCTGGAAGAATCACCCATTTGACTGCAACCGGTTACGACCTTAGATGTATCAAACTCAAATCCAGATCCCCTCCCCCTCGCTCCCACTTCTCTTCCTTCTCCCTCTTCTTTCCCCTCCCCACCCTCCTTCTCCCCCGTCTCTCTCCTCTCCAAATACCTCACCTCCTCCCGTCCATCCCTTAACACAGTGAAACTCGCTTCCGTTGCTCCCGCTATTGCTGCTTTCAGTGCCTTTCCCAGGATAGAAAAGCGGGCGAGGGAACGAGCATGTGTGACACCAAGACCGTACAGTGACCCCTTGCAGTTTAGGAACAGGCCCTGAATCTCGTCCCCCGCCTCCTCCAACAGCTGCTCCAGAACCGTCAGATCGTCCTCATCCAACGGCGGAAGCGCTGCGGATACTGGCTGGTCCCTGAGATTGCCAGCAGCGGCAAGGAAAGACCAACCTGGAAGTTCTCCTGAAACTTCTGTTGAAACCCCTGGAGCATCCTTAGAAACCCCTTCACCTGATACTTCCCCTGCTACACAGTGGTCACTTTTCTGCTGCTGCTGCCCCTCCTCCTCTTCCTCCTCCTCCTGCAGCTTGGGGAACAGCCTACGGCAGCGAGAGACTTCCAGAGACGCACACATTGCAAAGACGCGGATAGGAAACAGCGAGGCTCGTTGGCTGACTCCCTGTTTTGATGAAGAGAGGATGAATAATGAGGTATTGTTAACTTAAGAGCTGGGGAGGGGGGTGGAGTGGAGGAACGCGTGCAAAGATTGGTGATAGGGAAACGGAAAGGACGATTGACGCGGGAATGCATGGCGCGTGAGTGTGTCCCCACAGCCTCCTTTCCCCGACTCCCAGAACCGAAAAGTCTAATCCAATGCCACGTAGACTGCATAGCTCACCTCTTCCATCTTATCCATTGACACGTAGACGTCTTTCGCCAGGTCCTGCAGGGCCTCGTCCAGGGACTCTATGACGTCAGCAGCGGGCGGGAAACCATCCGCCAGCGCGGAGACGAACTGCGCGTTATACATGAGCACCGCGTCCTGCACTGACGCGTACAGCGCTTCCCACTGCTCCCCCTGGGCGGGACTCTGTTCCGCTGGTGCTGAGGAGAGAGGGGAAGGGAAGCAGGATGAGGAGGGCAGCGGAAAGGCGAAGGGAAGGGAAAGGGAGATTGGACGAGAAAGTGGATACGATTTGGTAACCTTGGGGGTTTCGGGAGTGCCAAACACGAGCGCGGAGACGAGCCGCGCATTGGTCCTGGTTTAAAAAGTAACGAGCCAATACAAAATGTACCTGCGACGTCGAGAGCCGATAGCGGAGCTGTCTGAGCCGAAGGAAACCCTTTCACGGGTCCCGAGAATCCCCAGTCGCCAGCAGATGGAGAACCCTCACTCCCGGAGGACGGCATCGGCATGACAAAAGACATGGTCGATGAAGATAACCCATTTCCGGCCTTATTATTTTCACCGAATCTTCGGCCGAAGCCGAAGCGACCGCCGAGCTGAGGGGGAGGCGAGACGGAGATGCTGTGCGAGTTTAAGCTCGACGGTATAGGAGCCACTAGGCTATGGCTCGCACAATTTATTCGGTCCTCTGAAAGGCTGTCCGCACTTAAGTGTTTCGACAGGTGGGCCCTGGGACCGGAACCTTCTGAAAAGGCTCCATCTGAGAGTACGGCACATCCGAAAACAGAAAAACATTATCTCTTTAGAAAACGGCGAGAGGAAGCCATTGCAGCGACTATGCACGTTAAGACGTGTACGGCGAGAAAAAAAAAAAAAAAAAAAAAAAAAGTAAACAGGAAAAGCTGTGGAACATAGATGTAGTCTAGGAAAATTAATAATGCTTGTGAAGCACCTGGAGTGTTCAAAGCTTTCCAGTGATCAAGTTCTTCCAAACACGCGTTCAGGACGCTCAAGATGCGATCACATTTCCACGTCGCTCGCGACGAGTGCTTGTCGCATGGCAGTCCCACTTCACGGTCCTTAAACGCATCTAAAGCGGAACCTAGAGCTCCAAAGACCAAGTCGACGAAGGCAGTCGGACATGTGACGTCGTTCGGCTGAGGTGAACCAACTATTCCCAGGCACCGCTTGGGATTTCCGAACCCATCCGCAAGAATGTGAGCGAACGACATGGCGGAATAAAAACTCCTGCCAAGCCGGAATATTGCGAGCCTAGCACCTAAATACACATGCTCTCTGACCCCTGCTAATGCAAGTCCATGAAGCGACTCGAGTAAAACAGCATGGCTTGGGCAAACGAGAAATTTGTGGAGGCGGAATTGAGGGCTGCTCGTTTGTTGCTCCTCAGACTCCAGGTTCTTGGGAACTACGGAAGGATGTCACCCTGGCTCCAGGTGACAATGGAGGGAACACAAGAACAAAAATCGTCATAGTACAGTGCAGAAGTGTACTGTAACACCGATAACTGTAGCATGATTTCTTCGTCACATAAGTTCCGTGCTCGAAGTCTTGCTCCTTTCCTCACGAACATTGCTGGAAGTGAATTCACGTTTGGGTGTATTCACCGTCATGGGTTCTTCGCTATAAGCACTGAGCTGAACGAAGGTTGATGTGCCTGCCGTGCCACAAAACTGCGCCCCAGGCGGGATATTCCGAGGCTTGGGAGAGCAGGTTTACTGCGTCAGATTCAGTTGTGGCGGTTGGCAAAGAGGCACGGAGGAGCCAGTAGAGAGCTTGAACCAAACCTGCTTTGGCTCGGCTTTCGGCCCGGAAACGGCATGTATGGAGGGGGCAGCAGTGTCTGGTGCTGGGTTCGGTAGAAATTCATGGCCAGTGTAGAGAGCCCCCTGTCGAGTAGATCAAGGAGACTTCCAGCGATTGAGTGACGCGTTTCAAGGGTTGCGTGTGGGCAAGGCTACCCGAAAGCATTTGGGTAACGCGTTTCCAGTCTGGGCCAAGCCTTCACCTGACGCCGAGCCTTCTGGTAGGTTCGTGAAGGAAACTCGGCTCGGCAGCACGGCATTACCAAAGGCGTCATTCCAAACGCTAGGGTTTCGTCTACATAACCTTCCGGCTGCTCCTTCCCTCTGGCTTGTCATGCTAGAGCAGTTGTATTGAGTTCCGTTGGTGTTCATGGAGCATCCTTCCCCTGCTCACTGCAGGTTATCTACAGGTAGGTCTAGTCCTTATTCAGCAGTTCCTAGTACGCTTTTACTGGGTAAACGAGTTGTTCATGCAATTGCTTGACGAGGATTAACGTGTATTGTTTATAACAGACGGCGGTCTCTTTCGCTCGTGTCAACGGTGACGGTGAAGAACTATCAGGCGAGGACCATCCACTTTGAAGACGTCATTCTATCGTCCTGGAAGATTGGTTTGTTGATATTATCTGTTTTTCTGCTTGGCTGCCTGAATTGTTGTACATGGTATATGGTCTCTCTTCGTAGGACCTTGTGCTTGTTGTCTTTGCACCTTGCCCTTATGGGTGCGCTTACGGGGCGGGTGCCGAGATTAATGGAAATATTTTTTGTGGGAGGGCTAAGCCCTCCTTGTTCGTGTTAGGTACGGTAGATCCGTGCCTGTGCCGCCCGATATTCCCCCCCAACCTCGTCTTTTTGTGTGACCCGCCAAGCCATCGTGAACCAGTCACTCGCAGCGTTGCGCGTTAGCAATTCGTTGTGGCGCAAGTCCATCAGCCATTCTGAGTGACATGATTGCTGAGTGGTCCATCAAACCCACACGAAGCGTGAGAGGGCAGGTCCATCAGCCATTCTGAAGAATTCCAACGAATTTTCTCCACACTTGAAAGCGGTTGAAGGAGCGCCATACGACGTCGAAGTCGCTCCTGTCAGATGCTGAAGATACCACACTAGACTCTTGAGGCTATCAATCTCAGACTCAAGACGGATGTTGAGTACATAATTTTGCACTAAAGCTGCCAGTGTGTTGGCGAAAAGAGGATTAGCGTATATATATGTTTCCGTTCCCTGGTTAGGCCATATGTCAAATGGTTATGGGGATATCGTAAGCTAGTAATTTGTCCAGATTCAGGTAATGGTGCTTAACTTGCTGATGTGGTTTTTTCCCTGCAGGCTGCGAGATGTGAAGGTTTGATCTAATGTCTCATCTGCATTCCAGGTGGGCAACCAAATCTAAGCCATTTATCTGTAGTAAATGCTTGGTTTTTGCAATACTGTTTCCATATTTTGTTATTCCATCTGTAACGGTTCGAAGTCGTGATGCCCGATTGTTCATGCATCTGAATTTGGCTTATGCGCTGCACTGCGTGGAGTGTCTGTCAATGATCAGGTCTGTACCCACTTGATCTGCTTATGCCCCTAAGCCGTCTCACCCTGCTCATTACTCTTCATTTTAATCAGATTCTTGATATGTGAGAAATTGTCTTGCTGACATCCTTCAGTTTTTCCTGAGTGACAGGATTCCATCTCCCAGCAGGGACAAGATTTGTATGGGTGATGGAATGGAAGTATCAGGATTACAATTGTTTGGAGTTGCAACATGCTTTCTAGTGGTGTGCCATAAGAAGTTGATGCAGTCTCTGGCGGTATACGTGCTGTGGACATTGCGAGTGGTAGGTACAGTAAAACTCGGATGCCCCAGTTTGAAAGAATGGTAGGCTACTGGAAGGGCTCAGACAGCTGCCTGGTAGTTCTTCCATCTAAAAATTTGAAGTTCTGTGTCAAATCATACCTGCAACATTAACTTCTCTCAACTTGGGGGGGCGTGAGCACGAATTGATTAGTGGTAATCAGCTTGTATTATGGAGGGAAGGTTGGACTGGTGTTGAGCAGATAATTCTGTTAGGGAAATTTAGTAACAGGTGTTCGCCAGTGTCTAGCGGTGGTGAGGGTCTAGCCCAGGCTACAAGATCAGTTATCCATCCAAGCCTGCCATGCTGGATGGTTTGGAACGAAATAATCGGTCTGGACGAGTTTGAGGTTTTCGAGGTTTGCCAGTCGCTTGGCCAACAAGGCATAAATCACCGAACTTGATTAGCGGGGCAACGTGAAAATGCCCTTTTCGCGACGCTGGAAATGTGAAATGAGTTTCGAAGTTTATAACTATAAGAATATTCGATGTTTCCGATATTTTTTCGACAGGATCAGATGCGCGAAATCTCTGTATACATTTCGGGCAGCCCACATAATGATATCGGACCAGGTTCACCCGCTTCAAACCTTCCTGCAACTCACCAGAATGTCCCGAGCCTCGAGAGCGGCTCGTCAAGCACGGTCACCATGCCGAGCAACTCAGGCTCGTCAGCCAGTTCTTTCGAGGTCAGAGAGGTCCGCTCATGTCACTTTCGAGGGTTTCGTTTTGATGAGTCCGAGCGAGAGGTCTCTCCACTCCAGTCCGGCAGGCAACACTTTATTGGAAGAGGTTGTCAGTGTCTTTGCCTTCCTTAGGGTTTCAGGATAATGACCAGTACTCGGAGCTCCAACAGCCGTGGCGTTCGACGTCTTTCTGTATGATGGCTTCGATGAGTTTCTGAGTGTGAGTGGTTCTTCTATTGATGGAAATCGGTGTCTATGTTAGGGCTGTTATGTGTCAGTTGCTTGGCAGGTGCTGTCTTGGAGCAACAAGCAGCAGGGCGAGGGACGAGCATCCATTGGGATCGTCAAATTTGGAAACACTTTTCAACCTTTTCTGTGACGTTTGGTTTGTGATTGTAGATATCCAATCGCCTATTTTTTCTGTATCTTGTACTTGTGCTTAGGTTAGGACCTTGTGGTTGTTGTCTTTGCACCTTGCCCTTATGGGTGCGCTTACGGGGCAGGTGCCGAGATCAATGAAAGTATTTTCTGTGGGAGGGCTAAGCCCTCCGTGTGCGTGTTGGTGCGGTAGACCCGTGCCTTGCCTGCTTGCTTCGTTGCCTTCGTCTCGTTCTATGCCCCTTTGACAACATCCAAAAGGAACAAGTGAGACGCGGAAATACACCGTCTTCATGTGGTATACGATCTTGAGGGTCTCTTGAACGTGGCGATACGATACATGAAGTCGTTTTCTGACCCATGGAGTCACCTTCGCACCTGGAATGGAAACAGTGCTTTTTCTACTGGTTTTCTTTCTATTTTTACTACTCTACTCAGTTACCAATTGGTATTTTTTTTTTTATGTTGATTACAACGTAGCGAATGGACTCCATTGTGTTGCACTTGTAGCTGTTCCATTGTTTCGGGTTTCACTCATGTCTTTGCAGGTCGAAGTTGCAGGCTTATGTTCAAAGCACCAATGGGTATTTATGTTGCTTGTAGTGTCTAATCGTTCGTACTTAATCAGGGTGATTGCTTCAGTGTAAGTCTGTGTTATTATTCTACAGTTCAATGTTTCCCCATGCTAATACCGCGTAATATTTTTGGTCTTATCTGAATGCCTCGTCATTTCGAGCAACCAGAGAAAGTCCCGAACTGAACCGACAGATTTTGCTTGTTGCCTTCAAGCTGTCCAGCCAACCCCAGAACTAGGACGAGCAGCACACTTCCCCCGCCTCAACCAACCAACGGTCCCCTTTGACACTGTTGACTCAGCACTGCCGACAGTCTTTCTCTGGTACATACGTGGCGGAAACACAGCCAACCCGAGTGTTCGATGTTCTGTTCTGTAGGACAAACTTCCGCGTAGCTGGGGGAAAAGCGGAAGGTATCCCCAAGGTGATGTGGAAAGGTTCCTTGGGCTGGTCGGCAATGCTTGGCAACTCTGTACTTGGTCACTTTCTCCTCCACCGAACCTAAATGTCGACTGTGCCGAACCAGCTGATCCTGACCCTGACTGAACCGAGGAAGGAACCTGGCTGTCATTTAAAAAAAAAAAAACGCATCCTGAGTGCGGTCCTGCGAACATCGCCACGGGCAAATGGAGCTGCAAAGCATATGGTTACCGTCGTGGTTCGGAACTATGGTTGAGAACAAGACAACCCATGTTTCACGCCATGGATTTTAGGGAGAGGAAAGGATGAAACCAGCAGGGAAAGGAAAGGAGCTTTCCAGACAAAATCAGAAGCAGCATTTGGGTGAGAATGGAGATCAGCTGACATGGAGAGGAGATTATCCTTGCTGGAGGACTAAAGACCAACCAAGGGAGATTACTGACTGAGGGGTTTGGTTATGACTAATGCTAGCTGCATCTTTCAGCGCCTTGTTGTTCTGGTTCTGTCCGTCTGTATACTACCACTCCGCGTCGTCCGCGTCAGTCTGCCTAGTTTTCAAGTCTAATCAGCCTCGCCGTCACAACGAGTTCTGACATCAAAGAATTAGGCGCTAACCCTGGTAATTCTTCATTATTCCTGAAAGCCGTTTGCTCCCATTAACTTAACCTTCATTTCTCCACAGCATTTTGACCTTCATTTCGTCCTAATATTTATGGAACAATGGACTCCGATTTAGCCCCGGAAAGACTTACCATCCCCGACGCAGGCGACTACGAATATCCAACAGCCGTCGTACAATGCTTTCCATGGCGGTCCCCGTACCCAATTTCCTCCTCGCGTTTCAGCCCTCGCGATGACCCTTCATCCTCTCCGACAAGTCAGTATACTCGCGACGACTCCTCGCGCTTTCGTTCCGGTTTTCACCCGCCGAGTCCGCGGCTTGTGCCGGCTTGCCTAAATCCTCCGCGGGTGTTTTCGCAAGGCGCAACAGCCGGCGCGATGCAATTCAATCGCGTGCTCGAGGTTCTGGTCTGGCAGCGATGGACTCGTCGCAGGGCGACAGGCGTCGCTGTCGCAGAGCCGGGCAAGCGACACGGCGACGGTTTGGCGGCGACGGTAGAGTCGACGACCACGACTACAACAACGGCAACGACCCGCCGTGCGATGCGCGGAAACGTCGCCTGCGCTGAGAGGAGTGCGGTAACCGGGCGAAGCGCGTTTATCGTGCAGGACGGCAGCACTAGCACGAGCACGAGCGCAAGCAGCGGAGCCAGCAGCAGCAGCGCCAGCGGCACGAGCAACACCCCGAGCACGCAGCTTACCAATCACCGTGATGCTTATAACCATCATACCTCATTGCGGGAAACCATGGCAGACCTCCGCGCGTCCAATCACGAAACGGTGACGTGTGAGCGAGTCGTGCGGATTGTGACTCAGGCGGAGAACGCGGCAGCAGCGGCGCAAGCGCCGCATGTGACGCAGTGCAGCGCTCGAGCGGAAAACGCGCCGGTGTTCGAATCGAGTCAGGCGACTCAGTTACCCTTCAGCCAGCGCTCTAGTCAGTCGGAGCGCTTTCAATCGCTGAGGGTCAGTCTGACTGCGTCCGCGCACGTGGTTCCGCCAACCACTGCCTCTGCCTGCGTCCCTTCCGCCGCCCCCGCGCCTGCGGCCGCGGCGGTCACGGCCGCGCCTGCCAGTTTCCTCTGCTTGTTAGAAAAACGACAAAAATGCCACAGCAAGCACTCGCCGTCTGTAGCGCCGCTACAGCCGCAGGCGGTACAGCCTGCCAGCCTGGTACATGCGCCGGATTGCGCGCTGGCGGAGGACGCAGGGGAGCACGCACACTCGGCGGAGGAGCTGGGGGAGCGCGCGCAACTGGCGGAGGGGCAGTTAGACCTGGCGGAATTGCAGGCGCGGGTGGTGGGGTCGCAGCTGCAGCTGCTGCGCGGAATGCTGGCGGAGCGGGAGGAGCAGGTCCGCGCGGTGATGGCGGAGCTGGCGGGCATGCGCGCGCGGGTGATCCGCGCGCGGAACGTGGCGGAGCAATCCCCGCGCGGGATTAGCAGAAGCCGCAGCGCCGTGCAAGGCAGGTGCGCCGGCGGGGGCGCGGCGGACGCGGTAGAAACAGCCGGCGGGGGGGGAACGGGGGCCGGAGCTGGCGCATCGATCTGCGGGCGGAAAGGAGGAGCGTGTAACCGCTACACGGGTAGGGCATCATTCTCGGTTCCGGCGAGTATGGTGAGTAGCAGACGGGCAAGCACCGACAGACGGCCAGCGGAGGCGAGTCAGGCATTGGCGGAAAGTCATGCCGCCGCGGCCACCGCCAGCGCCGCCGCTGCCGGTGCCACTGGTGCTGGTGGTGGCGGTGGTGAGACTTCTGCTTGCGCATCCGAGTGTCTAGAGGCCGCGGCGGAGTTGCAGCAAGTGGAGATGTCTGTAGCGAGTACGGAGGCGTGGCTGTGGGAGGTAGAAGCAGCGGCGGCCGAGGCGCGAGACGTGTTCCTGCAAGCAGAGGAAGAGGCGGCGGCGGCGGCGGCGGCGGTGGGGGCGGCGGGGGCGGCGGGGGGAGGAGAGGCAGCAGCAGGGGGGGAGCGCGGCGGCAGGGCAATACACTCAGGCGGGTTCCGTCATGAGCTCGCGCTTACAGAGAAGGCTTTTACCGAAGAGCTCTATAGGCGGTTGGCCCAGCTGCAGGCGGATTTGATCGAGGCGGGAGAGGGAGAGCGAGTTCTGCAGGGGATCTTACAGGGGCTGGAGGGGTCGAAGGGGACTGTAGGGAAGCTGCTCTTAACGGGGATGGATGGGTGCAGGGGATGGGACGGAGATGACGGAGGGGACGGAAGGAACGGATGGGACGTACGCAATGGTAATGATGGAAGGGAAAATGGCATTGAGGTAAAGGAGCAGAAGGGCCTGAGTTTCTGGGATAGGATCAATGGAGATGCGATTCTGAAGGGGAGTGTGGATGAGATTGAAAAGGGCCAGCAGGGCAAACAGAAGTGTGTAACGTCTGACGGTTTGGGCTTTTATCATGCTCACAGAAATTGTGCTGACAGGGACTGGATTGACAGGGAGGATTGTGCCAAGGATGTTACAAGTCTGTGGGGTTCATGCGGTGTGAAGTCAACTCTTGTACAGTCGCAGCAGCAACTGTTGCTGCAGCAGAAGGAGCAGAAGGAGAAACAGGTTCAGCAGCAGCAGCAGCAGCAGCAGCAGCAGCAGCAGCAGCAGAAGCAGCAGAAGCAGAGGGCAACGAATAAGGTGTGGGATGCAGGGGTACATGTGAACGGTGAGGAGGATTATGAGGAGGCGCTGATTCTGCAGCAGGCACTGGAGTATCTGAAGCAGCAGCAAGTGCCAGCTGTCATCTGCTGACAACGTGAGCGCCACCTGTCAATTCCCGTCAACGCAAGTGCATGTGTCGCTTGCTGAAAGCATGCAGGCAGGAGCTCCTGTCCTGGGTGGAATCAAAACCGGCAAAGTTCAGGCTTGCTGTGGCTTATGGGCGGGCACAGGAGGATCATGACTATCGGTGACTTTTTGGGGATCATGATGATACAATCTTGATGCCACGTGCAGCTTGCTGTGGTTTATGGGCACTGCAAGGTCGTGATGATGAGGCAGGAAGAATATGTTATGAGGAGGCTCTGATTCTGCAGCATAGGCAGATGCTCACAGATTTGGAGTGCTGGAAGAGGCAAATGCAAGGTGGCGGAGATTGCTAATTTGCTCAGAAATGCACGCAGCAGCTCACTCTGTAGATAATTTAAGTATATTTCCTAAGTATGCACCTAACGTAATCTGGGCAGGGTTTAAATTTATGGCATAAGGATCGGTTGTTCAAGCTCGAAAAATGCTTCAGTCTCATTTCTTAAAAACATGGTTGCACTTGAACTGTCAACAATACTGATTTTGCCTACTTCAAACAAATCTTCAATTTAGGACTTGCTTACTGTTCTTGAATCCACAAGTCACCATTGCCAACAATCCACCTACAGTTTTTCCCAAGCACTCAAGGGTATAAACACAACCATCACACCCTTTCGTCCGTTTCTTCTTCAGGACCCATCACACTCCTCAACCACCTCCCCTTGGTCACCTTCCCCCATCCCATCACCACCACCCTTTGCCCTTGCCGGCAGCAGCAGCAGCCATAGCATCAGCTCCCACTACTATTTTTCCTCCCAATCACCTCCCCCCTCCCAATCCCTCCCCCACCCCCCTGCCCCTTCCGCACCAGCCTTTAGTCTTCCCAGCAGCAGCAGCAGCAGCTCCACTCCACCTCCCTCTTCCTAAATTATCTTCCCTTTTCCGCACCGTCCCCCACCTTCCTCATATCACCTGCCCCCTCCCCACCAGCCCTTTCCTTTCCCCGCAGCAGCAGCAGCCATGGCATCAGCAGCAGCCATGGCATCAGCAGCAGCCATGGCATCAGCAGCAACCATGGCATCAGCAGCAGCCATGGCATCAGCAGCAGCCATGGCATCAGCAGCAGCCATGGCAGCAGCAGCAGCCATGGCATCAGCAGCAGCCATGGCAGCAGCAGCAGCCATGGCATCAGCAGCAGCCATGGCATCAGCTGCAGCCATGGCATCAGCAGCAGCCTGCTGCCGCTGCAGCAGCTCCACCTCCCTCTCCAAATCTGCCGTGCCTGCCAGCCTGTTTCTGGAACACCTTGAAAACTTCATCTCCCTCTACCTTTCCCCTACCAGTCCCTCTACATCTGAATCACCAGCTCCTGTCCTGTCCACCATCCCTACCCATTCCGTCACCTCCCCCCTCCCCACCAGCCCTTGCCCTTGCCAGCAGCAGCAGCAGCAGCCATGGCATCAGCTGCAGCCTGCTGCCTCTGAAGCAGCTCCACCTCCCTCTCCAGATCCGCCATGCCTGCCAGCCTCTGCCGGTACTCTGCAACCTCCACCTCCAGCCGGAAGCACCGCGCTTGTTCGGCTGCCAGGGTCGTTCTTGCTGTCGTCAACTCCTGATAGGGTGGGGTAGGGTGGGGTAGGGTGGGTTGGGGTGGAGGAGGCAGGGAAAAAAAAGGAGTTAAAGGGGCCTTTGATGTGCACACAGAAGCTTCACCTCCCTCTCCAGATCCGCCATGCCGGCCAGCCTCTGCCGGGTACTCTGCCACCTCCACCTCCAGCCGGAAGCACCGCGGTTGCTCTGCTGCGTAGCTTGTTCTTGCAGTTTTGAGTTCCTGGGTGTGAGGGCGGGGTTGGGTTGGGTGTGAGGGTGGGTGAGCAGGAAATGGAGGGGTGCAAAGGTCCTGCAACGATGCCATTCCCCTTACTCGACACCCAGAATTCACCCCACATCCCACCTCCCCCACATCTCGTAACATACAATTATCCAAACCCCACCACATCCCACCTGTTCCATATCAGCCAGGGCGTTCTTCACAGCAGCATAGTCTTTTTGCAGTGTCGCCATTCCCCCATCCGCCCCCGACTTCTTGGCAAGCTCCGCCTCTAGCTCATGCACCTGTGGGGTGAGGCAGGGTGGTAACATGCATAAAATTACAATTGGTATAGCTACGATTGATACAGTCACTATTCGCAATTTTCACGGTCATCTCCCCCCATCCGCCCCCGAATTCTTGGCAAGCTCCGCCTCTAGCTCATGCACCTGTGGGGTGAGCAAGGGTTGGTATAACATGGATACAGTCACAAGGGAGATTCGTACAAGATACAGTCACAGTCAATATACCGTACAGTTGATTTGATAGAGTCAAAGGATAGTCCCTTAGCAGTGTGGCCATACCCCCATCCGCACCCGACTTCTTGGTCACCTCCGCCTCCACCTCATGCACCTACACAAAGGCTCCATTATGTGGCTACCTACACAAAGGCTCCTTTATGTGGCTACCTACATAAAGGAGCTACAACAACACGCTCTTCCCATTCTCAACCGTCACCACCTTTATTCTGCATTCATTGAGGTCCTTTTTGATCTGGCCTGCCTCAGCATGTGCACTAGCAGAAGCGGCCTGGGCCGCCACGACCTTGGCCTGCCCCTCCGCCATCTCATTCACTGCCCCCCATTTCTCTCAAGGACCAGGTACGGCATACCCACACCAGTAGGGATGAGCAAGGGGCGAACACGAACATGTTCGTGTTCGCCCCTACACAAACACATCCGTTTGCCGAACCGAACACTGTTCGGTTCGGCGAACACTTTAAACAAAAACAGGTGTTCGCCGTTCGCCTGTGAAGGTGTGTTCGGGCGAACCTCGAACACGTTCGTGTTCGTCGCGGGGCAAATTGCAGCAGCGGCCCGAACACGAACGTGTTCGGGCGAACCTCAAACACTGTTTGGCGAACACTTTAAGCAAAAAAAACAAACCTGTGTTCGAGGCGAACCGAACAGGTGTTCGCCCTTGTGCTCATGTCTACACACCAGTAGGCCCTTCTCCCACTCCCAAGTTCTCACCTTTATTCTGCAATCATTCAAGTCCTTCCTGATTTGCCCTGCCTCTGCTTGCGCGCTAGCAGAGGCAGCCTGAGCCGCCACCACCTTGGCCTGCCCCTCCGCCATCTCATCCTCTGCTTGCTGCTTCGCCTTGATGGCTGTTGCTAGCTGCTGCTTCAATAGATCCACCTCCATCTGTGCCTGCAGGGGTGGTTGAGGAGGGGAGTGTAGGAATGGAGAGGGGATGTATGGAATAGTGTCTGCTTCGCGTTCACTGCCGTCGCCAGCTGCTGCTTCAATAGATCCACCTCCATCTGCACCTGAAAGGGGGTAAAAGGTGTGTAAAGGGGATTAGGGGGGGGGTACGTAGCACTTCCATCTGTCTGCTTCACCTTCACTGCCGTCGCCAGCTGCTGCTTCAGCAGATCCACCTCCATCTGCACCTGACGGGGGGGGAAAGGAGGGAGAAGAGGGAGAGGAGGGAGAGGGAACAGAACAGGCATACAGGGGTGTAACCATGTAAGAGTCTTCACTGCCGTCGCCAGCTGCTGCTTGAACAGGTCCACCTCCATCTGTGCCTGACGGGGGCAAAGGGAGTGAGTAGAGGGGATTGCGGGGAGGGTAGGTAACACCTCCATCTGTCTGCTTCGCCTTGATTGCCGTCGCTACTTGCTGCTTTACCAGGTCCACCTCCCATCTGTGCCTGACAGAGGGGGAAGCGGAGGGGGGGGGAGGAGGGAATGTGTGATGAAAGAATGAATGGAGATCTGCCCTGCCCTTCTCTCTGATGGCCGTCGCCAGCTGCTCCTAACTTACCGTAGAAATGTGGGGGGACGGACAGGAGGGGTGGGCGGGGGGGAAGGGGGGTTCGGAGCATGCACGTGACTTTTGAGGATTCTCATAAGTCACACCGTGCATGCACGTGACTGACATTCAGATCAACCAAACAATCGAATGTCAAATCGACCAAACAATCGAATGTCAAATCGACCAAACAATCGAATGTCAAATCGACCAAACAATCGAATGTCAAATCGACCAAACAATCGAATGTCAAATCGACCAAACAATCGATCGATCAAATGCCATGCCAAGAAAGGTTAAGGGAGAAGGGGGGGAGGGGGGGAAGGGGGGGGGGAGGGGGAGAGACTAAGCACACTTGCACGTGCTTACCTTGGCAATGGCAGCCCATGCATCTGCCCGAGCCTCTGCAGCAGTTTGACTCGCTTCAGCCCGCGCCTGGGGGGAGGGGTGGGGGTGGGAGGGGGAGATGGAGGAGGAGGAGGAGGAGGAGGAGGAGGAGGAGGAGGAGGAGGAGGAGGAGGAGGAGGAGGAGGAGGAGGAGGAGGAGGAGGAGGAGGAGGAGGAGGAGGAGGAGGAGGAATCTATGTTTGAGGCGCCTATAAAAACGACAGCCCATGCATCCGCCCGTGCCTCTGCGGCTGTTTGGCTTGATTCAGCCAGCGCCTGGGGGAGGAGGAGGAGATTATGGGAACACTTTTGAGGCGCCTCAAAAGTCGCCTGGGGGAGGAGGAGGAGATTATGGGAACACTTTTGAGGCGCCTCAAAAGTCGCCTGGGGGAGGAGGAGGAGATTATGGGAACGGAACAGCGAGTTGACTTTTGAGTCGACTCAAAAGTCGATTCAGCCAGCACCTGGGGGAGGAGGAGGAGATTATGGGAACGGAACAGAGAATTGTGAGAGAGTGCAGCAAAGACAAGAGGGGAGCTTCGGCTGCGTCAGCAATGTAGACTGGGCTGGCAGCACAACAAATTAGTGTTTACTCGAATTGGGAGACTCACATTGCGAGCCACCTTCTCTGCTCTGGTCGCGGCTGCTTCTGCCCCTTCCAACTGTGCCAGCAGCACTGCATCCCTCGACCTGTTTACCCTCAGCAGAATACTCACATACACAAGTGCTCATACTCACATACACAAGTGCTCATACTCACATACACAAGTGCTCATACTCACATACACAAGTGCTCATACTCACATACACAAGTGCTCATACTCACATTGAGAGCCACCTTCTCTGCTCTGGTGGCGGCTGCTTCTGCCTCCTCCAACTGCGCCAGCAGCACCGCATCTCTCGACGTGGGGGACAGCTCCCCTCCATCCTCCACCCCCACCACCGCCCCTGCTGACAAAGACGGCCCGTGCCCAGGTGCCGCAACAGCAGCAGCACCTGGAATTCCACCTGGGATTCCACCTGGAGGGGCGGTACCGATGATATTGGATGCAGATCCTGCTCGGACTATCTGTTTTCCCCCAGCAGCAGTGGCAGGGGGCATTCCAGTAGTGGGTGCGGCAGGGGGGAGAGCAGCAGGTGCGGAAGGAGTGGGGCCAAGAGCAGCAGCAGCGCCAGAGGGAAGGGAAGGAGGAGGTGCCGAACCTGCTGCCGAACCTGCTGCCGGAGCTGAGGATGCAGTGGTGGAGTCAGCAGGTTGGGAATTGCTGTTTTCAATTGCTGCTGAGGGCGGTAGTTGAGACGCTGAGCCTGCTGCAGCACCAGTAGCACTATCTGTAGCAGCAGCAGCAGCAGTTGTTGCAGCGGTTGTAGCACCAGCAGTTGCAGCAGTAGCTGCAGCTTCCTCTTCCTCCTCTGCTGCTCTCAAGAGCGCGGCAGTGTCGGGGAGCAATAGGAATACCTCGTTATTGTACCGCCCGTTATAGCCCCCGAACGCTACAAGCACAGGGCCAAGAGATGTCCCCACAGGCACCACAGAGAGACCCTGGGTGGTTGTGTTGGGTGTTTGGTGGGGTTGAGAGGGGGGAGATGATTTTGGGGTGAGTTTGATCCACTTTTGAGAATTCTCAGAAGGAAGGAACGCAGTACGGTAGAAGGGTCAAAGTAGAGGAAATTGAGGTATCCCCTCCCCTTGTATGTAAACAACCATTTAAATGACTCGCTTTTGACACCAGCAGCTTCACTATGTGACTATGTCCTAGACAGTAACAAACCCATCCCTTCCACTCACTTCTGACAGAAGCCAGCAGCCGTTTCCTCAAGCGACATGGTAACCACACTGTGCTGAGAGTCAAGCTCCATTGAGTAGCAGCTCCATTGAGTCAAGCTCCCTCACTTACTCACTGCTGCCACAACCCTTTCTACGGCTGTGTGTCCTATTTTTGAGGCGCCTCAAAAACTGAGACGACTTTTGAGGCGCCTGAAAAGCCGTTTCCTCAAGCGACATGGTATGGTAACCACCACACTGTGCTGAGAGTCAAGCTCCATTGAGTAGCAGCATTGTCGATACCCTCACTCACTGCTGCCTGCCACAACCCTTTCTATGGCTGTGTGTCCTACCCACACTTCTATCTCCCCGTTTCTCTCCACTCACCTCTGAAGCAAGCGGTGTCTTTTCCAGAGATGTGGTAACCACAGACCAGACCAGCGAGTCCAGGTCCAGCAGCATTGTCTCAGACACGCCCCCGTGGTTGTCCCCTCCCCCCATGATGAACCAGAGGCTGCCAAACGCCACTCCCACGAGGCCAGCACGGGGAGAGGGCACCTTGCCGTAGGTCTCTGCCAGTGACCACTCGGCCTGGGGAGACACAGGAGAGGGAAGGGTTGCAGAGGGTATAGGGAAAGGGCAAGAGAATCAGTTTTTGAGGCGCCTCAGAAGGGGCAAGAGAATCAGTGTGGCAGTGCCCGCCATGCTAGCTCCACCTCTGGGGGAAGGCACCTTGCCATAGGTCTCTGCCAGGGACCATTCGGCCTGGCAGGAAAGAGGGGAGAGGGAGGAGGAGAGAGGAGGTTTGTGAGAAGGAAAGAAAGTTGCAGACTAGCAGAGCAGCGCCTGGGGGGGGAGGGCAGGTTGCCGTAGGTCTCTGGCAGGGATCACTTGACCAACCATAACTGCTTCTAGACAGGGATCACTCCTTACAGCGTCCAGATCAGGCACATGCACATCGTTGAAGCACATGGAGTGGGAGGGAGGAGAGGGGGGCGTACACACACACACACACACACACACACACACACGCACACGCACACGCACACACACACACACACGCACACACACACGCACACACACACACACACACACACACACACACACACATATACACCTGAAGCAGCTCTTACCGCGTCTAGGTCTAGCACATGCACATCGTTGAAGCACATGGAGTGCGATCCGCCGCCAAAGATGGTCAAATAGTGCTCGTTGTACACTGTGGCGGTGTGTCCCGCTCTGGGCAGAGGGGGCGTTCCTCTGGAGCAAGGTTGGAAGGGCACAGCAGGGGATGGAAGTGGTGTGAGCGTGAGGTGTGAGCGAGCTAGTGGGAGCCGCCCCCAAAGATGGTGAGGTAGTACTCGTTGTACACCGTCGCTGTGTGTCCCGCCCTGGGCAGGGGGGGTGTTCCTCTGGGGAAAGGGATTGTACGGAAAACAGCACAACAAGGAAGGGAAGAGGGATAGCAGGTCAGCTAGATGGTGAGGAAGGCGCGAAACGTCAGAACGTCAGAAGGAGTGTGAGCTGGTGAGATAGTGCTCGCTCGCTGTACACTGGTAGAGAGGGTGTTTTTGAGACGTCTCTACACGTGAGGTGGTGGGTGAGGTAGTGCTCGTTGTACACTGGCCGGCTCTGGGAGCACCTTCTGTCACATGAGGAGTGTGAGGTGGGGGGCGTTGCTCTGGAGCGATTTTGAGAATTCTCAAAAAATCCCTGCGACGGGACAGCAAGGAGAAGAAAGTGGTGTGAGTGAGGTTGATGGTGACTTTTGAGTCGACTCAAAAAGAGGTGACTTTTGAGTCAACTCAAAAGTCACATCAGCACGCGACGAGACGGCAAGGAGTAGGAAGTGGTGTGAGTGCATTTTAGGCGCCTCAAAAAGGAGAAGGAAGTGGTGTAGTGAGGTGGATGGTGAGGTGGTGCTTGTTGTGTACTGGAGAGAGGTAAGAAACACCCCCCCCCCCCCCCTTCTCACTATCATATTCCCATGCTCTTTCTCTCCCATTCACATCCTCCCTCTCACATGCTCATCCCCCCCCTCCCACTCACGTGATGTCGTGCTTGTCCCACACAACGGTTGTGAGGTCCACGCTGTACACATCGTTTTTTGAGTCGACGGTTGTGGGTTGTGAGGTCCAGGCTGTACACACCTCTTCACCAACGGTTGTGAGGTCCAGGCTGTACACATCGTTCAGCAGCCGCCCCTTGCTGTCTTCCCCATCTCCAAACACCATGTTGGTCTACCAGCACTTTTACCAGCAAGAACTCACCACCACCACCACAACAAGCCACTCACGTGGTGTCCAGCTTGTCCCACATGAAGGTCGTGAGATAGAGGCTGTATACATCATTCAGCAGCCGCCTCTTGCTGTACTCCCCTCCAAACACTGTGCTCTCTCTCTCCGCGCTCTTACCACCAGACAATCACCTGCAAGCACAACCCGCTCACGTGCTCTCACCCCCCCACCCACTCACATGGTGTCCAGCTTGTCCCACACGAAGGTGGTGAGGTCCAGGCTGTACACGTCGTTGAGCAATCGCCTCTTGCTATCCTCCCCTCCAAACACCCACACCGTCGACCCCACCTTGGCCGTGCTGTGGCCTCCCCTCGCACACTGTAGTGGTTGAAGGGAGTATACAGGGGTACATATGGTTGCAGTGTGGCCGACATGGGTCAAAATGGACAGACACACCAAACACCCACCCACACCTTGGCTGTGCTGTGCCCTCCCCTCGCGCACTGCGGACAACAGGGGTGTCAATGCCAGGATGAAAAAAGAGAAAGGGGATGAGAGAGCACAGGGCAGATAGGTGGGGCAGGAAGAGAAATTTCTGTGTGGAGTGGGGTGTGCGCTCACAGGTATTTGACCGCGTGTTTTCATCACCCGCCACATCTTGCCACTCACATCCCATCCCAATGCAATGTCTGTACTGCCATTCCATGAGGTGAAAGAGCCAGGGGCAAACAGAAGGCCTGCCACAGGCCACGGCTGTGGGGTGGGTGCGGTGTGCACTCACGGGTATTTGACCGCGCGTCTTCATCACCCGCCACATCTTGGTGCTCACATCCAATGCCCGCACTGCCATGCCGTGACACGAGATGAAAGAAGAAGCATACACAGACGGAACAGCTCAAGAACTGTCCAGAAAAAAAGGTCAGAATAATTGCTTTTGCCACTGCAAACGGAAATCGGTACAGCAGGCTCACTGTCACATGGAGTGCTTTCGAGTACAGGTTACTTCAAAACAGAAGAACAGCAACGTACTAAAACGTTCTGTGACTATCCATAGCCACAACGTCGTTACAAATCACATGTCATCTTCTCTGCGCCATCCTTGAAGGATCCTCCTATGCACAGCAGAGTCACTTCCTCTTGTGGGATTACAATGAAGGATTGACGTGACTCTGCGACCACTGCTGCAACCCATCCCACCCATCTCAACCCATCTCAACCCATCTCACCCATCTCAACCGATCTCAACCCATCTCAACCCATCTCACCCATCTCAACCCATCTCAACCCATCTCACCCATCTCAACCGATCTCAACCCATCTCAACCCATCTCACCTATCATCTTCTCTGCGCCATCCTTGAAGAATCCTCCTATGCACAGCAGAGTCACCTCGTCTAAAATGACCTGCGCGGTGAAGGGTAACACAGGGTAACACAGGGTAAGACAGGGTAACACAGGGTAAGACAGGGTAACACAGGGTAACACAGGGTAAGACAGGGTAAGACAGGGTAACACAGGGTAAGACAGGGTAACACAGGGTAACACAGGGTAAGACAGGGTAACACAGGGTAACACAGGGTAAGACAGGGTAAGACAGGGTAACACAGGGTAAGACAGGGTAACACAGGGTAACACAGGGTAAGACAGGGTAACACAGGGTAAGACAGGGTAACACAGGGTAACACAGGGTAACACAGGGTAAGACAGGGTAACACAGGGTAACACAGGGTAACACAGGGTAACACAGGGTAACACAGGGTAAGACAGGGTAACACAGGGTAACACAGGGTAAGACAGGGTAACACAGGGTAAGACAGGGTAACACAGGGTAAGACAGGGAAAGACAGGGTAAGACAGGGTAGCATTGCACAAGGTAGCGTATGATCTGCCTCAAAAGCACTCCTATGCCCAGCAGAGTCAACTGGTCCGGAACGAGCTGCGAGATGGAGGGAGGAGCAGAGACAACAGAAGGGGAGGAGCAGAGACAACAGAAGGGGAGGAGGAGCGGAACAGCACAGCGGAGCACAGGGAAGCACAGACAAGCACAGAGGAGCACAGGCGAGCTCCAGCACATGCACGTTACACGACGTCACAGCTAGAGTGCGTGACGTGCACGTCACACACACTACTCCGTGTATGTTACACACACACGCACACACACGCACACACACACACGCACACACACGCACACACACACACGCACACACACGCACACACACACACACGCACACACACACACACGCACACACACGCACGCACTCACCAAACTGTGTCCAGCACAGGGTGGGAGAGCGTTGGCAGGGGAAGAGAGCTCCATTTTAGACCAGGCGAGTGATGCGAGGTCCAGCACATGCACGTCACTGGTGAACCTGGCTCTGTTGCCCCCCACCACATACATCCTCCCATCCAGGATTTCCGCTGCATGCTGCATATAGGAGGTGGGGAGGCAGGCGAGAGGGAGGGAGGGGACGGAAGAGGAAGGAGGCAGGTGTAGGGGGTTGAAAATGGGTACGAGACAGGCCCAGCACATGCACGTCACTGGTGAACCTGGCTCGGTTGCTCCCCACCATGTACATCCTCCCGTCCAATATCTCTGCTGCATGCTACATGCTGCATGCTACATATAAGAGGCGAGGATGCGGGACGGGGGCCGGAGGGGGGGGAGGGAGTGAAGAGAGAAAAGAGGGGAGGGACACGCACATCACGGCATCCACCTGATTCTTTTCCTCCTAAAAAAACACCTGAAAAAACACTCGCATCCACCTGAATCTTTCCCTCCTGCTCACAGTAGCAGCAGCAGCAGCAGCAGCAGCAGCAGCAGCAGCAGCAGCAGCAGCAGCAGCAGCAGCAGCAGCCACTCCCCTGTCCTCCTCACCTGGTATCTGGCAGACGGTTTTCTCCCAGTGACAGGAGCAGCGACCCACTTGTTGATGCAGTCGTGAGCGCGCAGCACTGCCATCACCCCCATGTCCTCCACCACAGGGGGGCCCCGGGGGAAGGCAGCGCCATTCATTGCCGGGAAGCCCTCAGCAGCGTAGCCCTCTGAATAGCCCCTGCCGTACCCCTCTGCTGCTGCTGCTGCATGCTGTGGGGCGGGGGTAGTTGCAGAGGCGGAGGGGCGGGGAAGGAGGAAGATTGGGAGGAGAAATCAAGTGCAGAACAAGAGTTTCCAAAAGTTTCTCTACTCAGGGTCTCTCAAGAATAAACTGAGTGTGGTGGAACGAGTGTGGTGGAGCAAGTGTGGTGGGCTTAGTTGCGGAAGACGCTCGACGCGTCTTGCGTCTAGCGTCTAGACGCTAGACGCAAGACGCTTGGGCGAAATTTTTTCGGGCAGCCCGAAAAAAAAAATCGCGCCCGCGAAATCGAAATTCGCCATTTTGACGCAAAATTCAATTTTTGCGCCATTAGAACACCTTCCCACCCATTTCGATTACAAAAACCAGCCCCCCAAGCAAATTTGAATCCCCCCCAACCAAAATTGAACACAAACCACACTTCACCGCTTGGTATCTAGAAAACCCAACCTCTATGGCTAACCACCAAGAGGTTGGGGAGCACAAATCCCTCATTTGTGCTCCCCTACCTTCATTTCTTCCAAATCTCTTTCGAAAACCCTTAGGGTTTAGCTACTACCACCGTGCAACCATGTCTTCTAGTATCCATTGTGACATAGGTGCATGTCCTCCACCCTCCCAATGCCCCATATAACTTTTTTTGGTCCGCCCGAACATTTTTTTTGGCCTGCCCGGGTTTTCGTCTAATACTGTGTCTAATCTACACTGTCTAGCGTCTAGCGTCTTAGACGCTGCGTCTAGACGGGCGCGTCTAAGACGCTAGACGCGTCTTCCGCAACTAAGGTGGTGGGCGAGCAAACAAAGGCATAATGCACCAGATGCAGTCACCCCCAAAGTTAGGCAAAAAGAAACGTGCATACTGGTTCAGTTGCTTCCATTAGTTGTGCGTTGGTCCACCAATGTGGGTCCTCCTCCTGCCAATGCCACATGACAGAGAGACAGTTAGGGAAAAGAAGAAACGCGTACAGGTGTTGTGGCACAAGAAGCAACATGATTAATGAGACGACTTTGGAGGCACATCATAAGACTTCCTGGCAAAGGCAGGGATGCAAAGAGAAAGAGAAACAAGCACCGCCAAGAGAGCTAAAGCAACAACACGGTCAACGTCGCAACGCTCACTCGCAACGACACCATTCCCTCGAGACTTCAAGAAACAGGAACAGCACAAACAGCACTTTTGAGTCGACTCAACGGTCACCTCCCAAACTCTCAGCTTCAGGCTTCGTTCAAAGAGACCAGGAAAAAATGCGTACCTCCAGAGCACGCACGAACAATCGCATGGCCTCTACTGGCGCCATCTTTCCCAGCTCTGTCCAACTGTAATGTAACGCACAGGGCAAAGGGGGACAAGGGGGAAAATGCTATGGTCGACTCAAAAGCCACCTGCAGTGGCGTGGGTGGCACCATCTTCCTCAGCTCCGTCCATCCAAGTGCAGTGTGCGTGAGCAAAGGGGGAGAAGAAGGAAGTGAGAGAGGCACTGCCAGTGACAAGACAGGACAAATGAGAGACAATGAAACGATACGACGGAAAGAGGAATTCAATGAGAACCATGGGGAGGAGGGAGAAGGAGGGGAGGAGGGGGTTGGGTGGGGTCTGGGGTGGTACAGCATGCGATAGGAGTGATGGTGAGGGTGAGCACAATTTTCGTTTCCAGAAACCAGCAGGGGTATGCACTTTCCTCTCAACTTCCTCCTAAAGAACCTCCCTGCCAGCAAAACCTCCCTGCCAGCCTCTCGCTATAATCACATCCACCTCTGCCATTTGGCGAGCTCTACAATGTTCCACGCCCATGGCTTGGGCTTGTTGCACGGCCCACCCACGTCTATCTTTACCCCCCCAACTTTGCCATTTGATCTGACTGATCCACCCACCCATCCACCCACCCACCCACCTCTGCCATTTGGCGAGCTCCACTATGTTCCACGCCCATGGCTTGGGCTTGTTGCACGGCCCGTGTACTGCCTGCGAAACAAAAATGAAAGGCGCAGCAGCAGCAACAGCAGCAGAGGAGGGGCAGCTGCCTAACAAGTAAATTAACGCATTGGCGCGGGTGGCTGTAAGCGATCCAGGAGTCAAAACGACGGCCATAGCCTGGCATTGTAAGATTGCACGGCCCATGTCTCGTCTGCAGCAGCAGAGGGGGGGCAGGCAAGAGGCGTACGATTGGCTGGTAGTGTATCATCATGCACCTTGAACATCGCAGATAGAAACGCACTAAGCATGATACACCCACCCCGCATCACGCACCACGCACTACGCACCACGCACCAAGCACCAAGCACCAAGCAACGCACCTGCTGGTAGAGCGAGTAGGGCGCGAGGCACGGGAGGTCGGAGCACTGAGTGGAATTACCCGCGCCCGTCCCCGTATTGTGGCGAACCACGACCCACGCAACACGCATCACGCATCACGCATCAAGCATCACCCAACACACCTGCTGGTAGAGCGAGTAGAGTGCGAGGCACGTGAGGTCGGAATACTGCGTGGAGTTACCCGCGCCCTCGGGAATGTCCACCGTCCCCGGGATCGCCGCGTACCGAGCCGCGATGTAGAACCTATCCGGGTACGGAGGCAGCGCTGCAGTCGGCGGCTTCGACATTGCTCTCCCGGTGCAAGTTATAAGGTTCTGCCTTTAGAAACAGCGATTAATTTCTATAAAAATCTGAGTTGGAACAGCTGAGACGGAGAGAGAGCTAACAAGAGTCAGCTATTGTGGATGCAACCCTTCCAGGCGTGACGGCTTCAATCACCAGGACAGCTCTAAGCTCCTGTAGCTGCTGCTGATTGTACAGGATAAGCTGTACAAACACCGCCTAAGCGTCCCCGTACGCAACATTCGCCCCCTCTCACGCCCTCGTGAATACGACGCAGCTCAAGTTCGTTTCCGCTACGACTACAGCTAGTATACCACGCGCAATCCACGCGCGGCTGGTGAGCACAACCCACCGGAACCCGCTACCCTACTTGTCGGTGGTTCGGAACTCCGAGACTGGTACAGCTGCACGTGCGGCTAGTAAGCGCATTTGCTGCTCAGAGCATCTACTACCGGGTTCGCAGCAGGCAATCGAATGAACCTACCGGCTCCCGTAATTTGATCGCCTCGGCTCTATTCCGCTCAGCAATCCCGAAAATACCTTCTGCAGAGTCTCGAGGGAGCCTTCGGCTGATGCTGGTTTGCCTGTGCGACCAGACCTATTGCTCACTACAATACGGTTGGATAGGAATAACGCATTGAAAACAACGGTCACTGACGGTTGATTTAGGTTTAAAATGACTCTGGCTGGTGTTGGTTGGGTGTAGGGGGAGGCGAGAGCACTTGTCCTGCTCGCTATAGATTTAAACCAGTCAAATACAACAACAGCAGCAATAAAATACCTAAGTGATACAAATGAAGTACTCTTCACCACCTCAAACAAGGTCGTGTCAGCAGTCACCTCACCACTGACGTGTTAGGATATACTGAGAAATCGCAATCTACTGTAGTTGTTTGGGGCCGAGCGTAGGCGTGAATGTCTCGATGAGTGCCATGATGGGCGATATGCTCCACACCTCATGTGCACTGCCACAAGGTTGTCATCATCCAGCTCATATACAGTAGAACCTGTGTTATAAGCAGCACAACCAAAGCAACGGTGGTACATCATAAAAATCACACATTGTTTAGCAAAAAACATGTGAAGCATGAAGCAACAACATGCACGGATTATACCTGTGAACGGCTCGACCCTGGGCTGCCAAGGGAACTTGAGGTACCTGCTTGGATTCATGGCATTCCAGGAGCAACAGAAGAAGGCAAGAGACCAAGAAGGGCGAGGGGGATGTTGGGGCACGAAAGGGGATGGGGGGTGAGGAGGAAGGGAAGAAGGGAATGAGGAACATGAGGGGTGGGGAAAAAATCAGGGGAAAGGGGGGCTGGGGAAGGTGGGGTGGGGGGGGGTCGCGGTTAAAGGAAAAGGGGACGAGTGGGGGAGATGAGGAAGGAGGAGGCAACAGCATGTTTGGCAACTATACTCTTAACAGAAGCTGCAGATACGGGCAAGAAAGAAGCATAAAAAAAGCCTCATTCGGTGCTTCGACTTCCCAGCTTACCCGCCAAGTCGCCACGTGGCAGTGACTGATTTGTCAGAGGTGACTGCAATGGAGAGCAGCTCTTGTTTGGAGAATGCCGGGTCGAATAGAATGCTCACAGCAGCCAGGTAGCGCGCCAGTCCGGATGTGTCATTCGTCGGATCCTTGAACCTGCAATGGGGAGGCTTGTATGGAGTACAGATTTGTGGGAGGTGACTACTCCTGCTTGGAGAATGCGGGGTCAAAAAGCACACCCACAGCAGCCTGGTAGCGCACCAGCCCAGAGGTGTCATTGGTTGGATCCTTGAACCTGCAATGGGGAGGCTTGTATGGAGTACAGCTTTGTATGAGGTGACTACTCTTGCTTGGAGAACGCCGGGTCGGAGAGCACACCCACAGCAGCCGGGTAGCGCGCCAGCCCAGAGGTGTCATTGGTTGGATCCTTGAACCTGCAACGGGGAGGCTTGTATGGAGGACAGATTTAGATTTTCATGAGTTTGCCTGGAAGTGATGCGGGTTGATGCGCATGGTTTATGAGGAAGAAACACTAAAGTTGGATAAGGTTTCACATGCTGAAGTGGAGCGATTCGTTAGGAGCAGGGCATTTCATCCGTTATAGCACACTGCATCAATGAATATGGAAAGAGAGGGGTGCTATGAACGAAAGTAATGTTCGTCCAATTGGCATCATACAGCTTTGCATTGTAATATCAGGCTGTCACAATGCGCATTCGTTTCAATCATATAATTTCCCTACGCAGCCATTCTGCCACCGTCAGTTCTGGGTAGATAGTACAGGTAATATAAGAAATCTGCCCACCTGCAGTCATCGCGATAAATAGAGGCTGTGAGGTCCCCTGTAACGAAGTACTGGCCCTCGCTAATGTCACGTGCGATAATATCCTGCCACCAAAATCGTGCCATTAACAGCGATAAATCATAATGGTAAGCTCATGCTGAGCATGCTGTTTCACTGAGAGAGGAGCACTGTTGACACTCCGTTGAATGCACATCTAGTTCACTCATTTCAATCATACGCGTTTCAGTCACACCTTTACTTGCTCGACAGAGAGACCCCGCTGTTTCCCGTCCCCCCCTGCTGCTGCCGCTGCTCCGCTTTCACCCGCGCATTGCGCCGAGATCACCGCTGACAACCCGATTAAAGCCGCGCGCCGAGTTGTGAGACTCGCAGTCTCACTAACGGTCCGAGAGGGACTGCCGCAAGAGCGCTCGTCCCCTGAAATCACGAGAGTAGAGCTAGTGGGCGTCGAGGTGGGAGAATGCTGGATGGTCGGCGTGAGAGAGCAGGAGCAGCGCAGAAGGTGAGGCGCGGAGCGGAGGTTGAGCGCGGAAGTGTGACACGAGGTTCGAAGGAGAGTAGGGGAGACGGGAGGAGAGAGGCGGAAGCAACGCGAAGAGAGGCCATTGGAGGAGATATGTGGCCAGCCTTCGCGCTGTGGATATATGATGGATTGATGGCAATGGGGCAAATTTGTCATCCTCGTTTTCGATTTCTCATCTGTGATTGAGTTAGCTTTATTTTGCTGCTTGACGTAGCTGCCCAACACATTCTATAAATTATACAATTTATATTTCCAACGATAACTCCGAATTCACCTCATCTTGAAAACGGCTTTCATGATACGTGGCACGAATCTACATGTCAAAGATACGCGGACAGGATTGTCTGATGAAGAAAAATCAGACGAAACAGCTTCGCTTGACGCCAAGGCTGTGGCCGCATGGAGGTAATCTGGCAGTACAAAAACAAAACGAAAGGGTGTTACACATTGCACATAAGGATATCTGAATACCATGCGGAATTTATTTCCGTCGTTTCCTAGCCCGCAATCTCATCATGCATCGTTCTCCTCCCCAACATGCTTGACATTAGACAGTGGTCTAGTTACTAGTAATGCTATCGTATTATTCCGGCTATAGGACCCACCGGTAAAAGGGTCCCCCGGGACTCTCTATAGGGTACTGGGACTCTTATTTTGGTACCGAAATGTGAGGACCCCCCTTTTGCCCCAAAACATTATAAGACCCCCCTTTTTATATACAGTTGTTGTAAATGCAATTGCGCGTCAGCTTTTATAGGCAAAAATTCGAATTCTGGCATGCTGTATGTGTCAGATTCGGATTCTGACACGTTTTTGTGTGTCAAACGTGAATTCAGACACAGATCTGACGCGCCGGTCGCGTGAAATTTGCACACGAGGGGTGTTTTCCGTTACGAATATAAGACCCCCCCCACTGTAAACGAACACTGCATGGTAAATCCAATAACATTGTTAGACAAATAAGCACACCCAGGTCTTAAAAAATTGTATGCCAACTATATGTTCACCCTAGCTTTTTTTTTTTGCATTTGTAGAAAGTCCCCCGGGTCCTATAGCCGGAATAATACGGTACTAGAGACCCCGCTTGCCATTTCGCCATGTCATCATGCTATGTCTACCCCTCGTTCATTTCCCCCTTCTCCCCTCACCCCTTCCTCCCCCCTCTTGTACCCCCAGCCCCTCCCCTTTCACGCGTTCAGCTCACCTGTGTACGCTTGATCCTTGAACACAAGCAGGCTGCTAGGGGCCAGAGCCACACTCTCCCTCATCACCACTTCGGTCGCCTCTGAGATGGCACAACCACACACTACCTCACCACCACACCAGCTCACCTGTGTATGCTTGATCCTTGAACACCAGCAGGCTGCGAGGAGGCAGAGCCACACTCTCCCTCATCACCACTGCATCCCCAGACGAACCCCACTCGCCTGCCTCTCCCCACACCCAGCTCACCTGTGTATGCTTGATCCTTGAACACGAGCAGGCTGCGAGGAGGCAGAGCCACGCTCTCCCTCATCACCAATGCATCCCCGGACAAATCCCGCTTGCCTGCCTCTTCTTGCCCCATTTCATCCTTCCCATCTCCTGCCCCCTCAGCTCCACCCTCTCGTTCTTCCCGGCACTCCAGTAGCCTCTGGTGGGGAGAAAACGCCATGGTTCCAGGCAGGCCAAGAGAGAGGATGGCGACACAGGGGAAGTAGGCCGGGCCGTCCTGGTGTGGCTGGGAGTTGGGAGGAGGGAGAGGCGTGAGGGGAAGGGCGGGGGCGAAAGGAAGGGCGAAAGGTAGCTGAATGGTTAGAGGGAAAACAAGATAGATTATAGCGACACAGGGGAAGAAGGCCGGGCCATCCTAGTGTGGCTGGGGGGGAAGAGGAGGGACAGGCGTGAGGAGAAGGTGGGAGACCAGGAAGAGGTAAAAAGGTGTGGAAATGCTTAGAGAGAGGCCGGAAAAGAGGATGGGGACGCAGAGGAAATGGATTGACGAGTCCATCCAGGGTATTGACCAATGACCAGCACGTGGATGATAAGGGAGGGGAGGAGATGATGCGGGAGTGTGCGTGAGTAATCTCACTCTTGTCACGCCACTGTAATGCCCTTTCCTCCCTAGTACTCGTTCAGGAGCACATGGTTAAGAAAAACAGTTTCGACCTGGATCCACACGACCAAAAAACACTCGTTCATGAGCACATGGTTAATGGGGAAATCGAAGACGAACGGATACTCACTGTTGTCAATCCACTCACACCACTGGCACTCCACTCACCACGATGCCCTGCCCTTGGTGTTACTCATTCATGAGCACGTGGTTGATGGGAAAGGGGAAGGACGTGGCCTTTACTCACACCCTTGCCACCCCACTCACACCCCTGCCACCCCACTCACACCCCTGCCACCCTACTCACACCCCTGCTACCCCACTCACACCCCTGCCACCCCACTCACACCCTTGCCACCCCACTCACACCCCTGCCACCCCACTCACACCCCTGCCGCCCCACTCACACCCCTGCCACCCCACTCACACCCCTGCCACCCCACTCACACCCCTGCCACCCCACTCACACCCCTGCCACCCCACTCACACCCCTGCCACCCCACTCACACCCCTGCCACCCCACTCACACCCCTGCCACCCCACTCACACCCCTGCCACCCCACTCACACCCCTGCCACCCCACTCACACCCCTGCCACCCCACTCACACCCCTGCCACCCCACTCACACCCCTGCCACCCCACTCACACCCCTGCCACCCCACTCACACCCCTGCCACCCCACTCACACCCTTGTCACCCCACTCACACCCTTGCCACCCCACTCACACCCTTGTCACTCCACTCACACTCTCGGCACTCCACTTACCATGGTGCCCTGCCCTTCCTGGTACTCGTTCACGAGCATGTGGTTGACGGGGGAGGGGAAGACATGATACTCACACACTTGTCATTCCACTCACACCACTAGCACTCCACTCACCATTATTCCTTGCCCTTCCTGGTACTCGTTCACGAGCACGTGGTTGACAGGGGAGGGGAAGACGCTCCTGAGGTCAGCGGAGAGGCGAGATGTGAAGCTCTGTAGCCATTGTGGCACTGATCGAGATAAGACATGAACGGGAGGGCATGCAGGGATGGGAGGTTTGTGAGTCGACTCAAAAAGAGGCGAGATGTGAAGCTCTGTTGCCATTGTGGCACTGATCGAGATAAGACATGAACGGGAGGGCATGCAGGGATGGGAGGTTTGTGAGTCGACTCAAAAAGAGGCGAGATGTGAAGCTCTGTTGCCATTGTGGCACTGATTAAGAGAAGGCAGGAATGGGAGGGCACGCAGGAATGAGGTTTGAGTGATGGGAGGGAAGTTGTGAATTCGACGGCAATGGAAGAAAGGAACGAAGATTGATAGGGGTATTGGAGACACAGTGCTGGGTCACCAAGGATTGGAAAGAAAAGAGAGGTGGGATGGAAAAGGAACGATGATGGCGTTTGCCTTGTGTTAATAATGGTACGACGGGCGGGCTGAATCACACCCACCCAGTTATAATCAAACTCACCCAGTTATAGTCACACTCACCCAGTTATAATCGCACTCATCCAGTTACAATCACACTCACCCAGTTATAAATCACACTCACACGGTTGAGCTATGAGCCCCTTATCATGCAACACACCGCCTGCAGCAGACGTAAGGAGGCATAGAGAAAGATAGTGTTCTTAAGTTTACCCTACTATTGAGAAAGAACTGAACAATCTGCAGCAGACACAAGGCGGCAGAGTGGCACAATGTAAAACGCATCCATCCCAAACCCTTTTTCCCTTACACCCAACCCACTCCTAACCGCTCACCCCAGTTCTGCAATCTTCTGCCAGTGACATTCTTCCACTTGGTGACTGGTGCAGACGCAACCTGATGGCCGGATGACGTGGCAGCACGCCAGCAGGAGGTGTGAGCGTGTAAGCACGAAAGTGAAAGTCAGCAAACGTTGATTTGCACCCGTGAATCTGCTCACCTGTGACATCAGCAGTTGCTCTTCCTGCTTTGTAAGGTACTCCGGGACCACGTATACGGAGGACACTCGACCTACGCGAAACGGCTCCAAGCCTTGGCACCGAAGCTGCTGCCGAACCAGCTCTGACTGCTGATTCAGCCTCGGCGAATCTGTTGCGTCATCCGAACGTAACCGAGCGGAGCAAGCTACCTCATCCATTCAATATTGAGATTGATGAAACGCTTCGACAACAAAAGGCGAACCCAGAAAGGAGACTCGCGGTTACGAGAATTTTAACGCGAAGTACTGGAAAATAGCGATTAGTAGTGATAGAAGCGGGAATAAAGAAACTAAGTGGGAGAACTGATAGACTAGCCTGAAGGAGTGTCAGAATCCTGGGATTCCCAAATGTCTTCAATAGTACGCGACATGAAACACCTTCGATAAAATTTTGAGTCGTATCGTCGAGTTCAAACTACGGTATCTTCAAGAATACATTATCTCTTCCTCCATGCACACCAGCCCTTCATAGCATGTTAGCTGATAGGAACACAAGTTTGGGTAACCATGAATACATTCAATAAATATGAAATCATTGTATTGTACATGCAAATGCATTCCAACCATAGTGCAATGTGCACAAGAAAAGGCATTCCTACAAGTTCGGAAGTGTTGCTCCCTAAGCTCGGATGCTTTAATGACATCAATGATATTGACCAGAAGTCCAAACGACATGGCTAAGATCATCTATCGACCCAAATTTCACTAGAACACTGCCTCGTTATAAGTCCTAGTCTTGGAACATGAGAGCAACGCCCACCATGGTAAGCCAAACCGAGAAGGCCACCCAGAAATAAGGGCTCTTCTCCCACCTGGGCGGCTTAAACGACATGAGGTCATCCATGTAGTCCCTCGACCCAGAGTTTTTCAGCTTCTTGATGCGCTTGGGCCGCCTCTCCGTCACCATCTGACTCCACGTGCGCCCAGAGCTGTGGGTAGGGAGAGAGAGAGAAGAGGAGGGGGGTGAAAGGGTGGGAGGTGAGGGGGGAGAGGGGGATGGGAAGGGAGCAGGGGAAACAGTGATGAGGGGTTGAATTTGGACTGGTAAGAGGAGACGTGTGGGTGCGAGGTGCAGTGGGTTTGAACGACATGAGGTCATCCATTTAGTCCCTCGACCCAGAGTTCTTTAGCTTCTTGATGCGCTTGGGCCGCCTCTCCGTCACCATCTGACTCCATGTGCGCCCAGAGCTGGGGAAACAAGAGGTGGGGGAAGGAGTGTTGGGAGGTTGGGAGGGGGGTGGGGATTTTTTGTGTGGAGAAATGTGGGCAGATCTTGGGCCGTCTCTCCGTCACCATCTGACTCCACGTGCGCCCAGAGCTGGGGAAACAAGAGGTGGGGGGAGGAGTGTTGGGAGGGGGGCGGGGAACTTTTTTTGTGAAGAAGTGTGAGCAGAGCTTGGGTTGTCTCTCAGTCACCATCTGACTCCACGTGCGCCCAGAGCTGGGAGAGAGAGGTGGGAGAAGGTGGGTTGGAGATGGGGAATTCGTGGGTTGAAACTTTCAGTTCATCCATGGGTTGAACGTCGACCGTCTCTCAGTCACCATCTGAGTCCACGTGCGCCCAGAGCTGGTGGGGAGAGGGCAGTGGAGGGTTTGGAGGGGAGGGAACGAGAAGAAATTGTAAGCGGAAGAGTGTAGGTAGGGCTTGGCCCGTCTCTCTGTCACCATCTGACTCCACGTGCGCCCAGAGCTGGGGGGAGAGGGTAGGGTGGGGGGGGTGTCAGGGTTGGGGAGGGAAAGGAGGCAGTCAGAAGCTGGGTTGGCACTTGTAAGAGGAGAGGTGTAGGCAGAGGGCGTGAGGTGCAGAGGGTTTGAATGCGGTCATCCAGATAGTCTCTTAGCTACCCACTAACACTTGCTCTCACTTTCACTCAGCCCCCGCACTTCTCTCACTTCCACCAGATCCGCACCTGCTGTTGTCCTTGTCCAAAATAGGCACTTCCAGGATCTCATGGGGAGACAGCTTCAGCTTAGGCGCCTCTGCAACATAGCGCATGTTAGCAGCCTGCTTGCCTATTCCCCCCCCACCCACCCACCCACCCCACGCTTCCTCACTCCATCCTACCCCCACCTGTTGTTGTCCTTGTCGAGAATGGGCACTTTCAGGATCTTATAGGGAGACAGCTTCAGCTTGGGCGCCTCTGCACTGCACTGCATGTCTGCAGCCCGCTTGCAACCCACTCAACTCACCCCCATTCTACTCTCTCTCTCTCCCTCACTCAACCGCCACTCTGCGCATTCTTCCTCCCTTCCTCCTGCCTGCGTATTCCTTTCTTCCTCACCTGTTGTTATCCTTGTCCAATATGGGCACTTTCAGACTCTCAAGACACCCAATCCCTACCTTTTCTCCGTCGCTCTGCGCCTCAAACCCCACCTGCACCTCCTCTCTCCTTCATTCACCCCTCACCTGTTGTTGTCCTTGTCGAGAATCGGCACTTTGAGGATCTCATCGGGGGACAGCTTCAGCTTGGGCGCCTCTGCTTTGTAGCGCATGTTGGCAGCCTGCTTGCCTACTCACCCTCCACCCACCCACCCCACGATTCCTCTTACCGCCCTCTACCCACCTGTTGTTGTCCTTGTCGAGAATCGGCACTTTGAGGATCTCATCGGGGGACAGCTTCAGCTTGGGCGCCTCTGCTTTGTAGCGCATGTTGGCAGCCTGCGCGCGGATGGCGGGCATGGGGTGGTTGCTCTCCAGCTTGCGGTAGAGCGCCAGGCACTCTAGGCGTTGCCCGTTGGCATCAGAGTTGGATCTTGGGAGGAGGGGGAATGGGGGACGGGGGCAGAGGGAAGGGCAGGCAGGGGTGACGGAGCACGGGAAGGAGCATGGAAGCAGCAGGGAAGAGGACCAGATCGGAGTCAGGAGGACTGGGGCAGGGGGAGAGGCATGCGGATGGCGGGCATGGGGTGGGTGCTCTCCAGCTTGCGGGAGAGCGCCAGGCACTCTGGCCGCTGCCCATTAGCATCGTGGGCCATCGCCAGCCATAGTTGGATCTGCGTGGGGGAAAGGGGGCAGGAGAAGAGGCGCAGGAGCAAGCAGGAACTCAACTGACCTCTCCGGCAAGCTTCGACGTGAACTCCACGTTTCCCAGCGCCTGCTCGAGGATCGCCACGCTCTTGTGCAGTCGTGAGATGTCTCAGAAGTCTATGTGCCCTCAAGGGAATCCCCGCTCAAGGCAAAGTGCACTAAAGGCAGAAGCTCAACTGACCTCTCCGGCTAGTTTCGACGTGAACTCCACGTTTCCCAGAGCCTGCTCCAGGATCGCCACGCTCTTGTCGTACACTCCGCGCCCGTACGCCTGCTGCCCGAACGCGAACAGCTCCGCCGCCTCGCGCCGCTTCTCCGCCTGCTCCTGCGCCCGCTTCGCCAGCAGCTCCCGCAGCTTCTCCGCCTTCCGCTCCGCGCGTTGCTCCGCGGTCAACCCGTCGTCCGCAACCTCCGCCGATCCTCCCGCTCCGCCCGCTCCTCCCCCTCCTCCTGCAGCAGCAGCGGCGGCAGAAGCGGCGGTGGCTCGTCTTGCATCCTCTTCCGCTTCGTCTAGCTCTTTCTCCAGAGCCTTGCGCTCTCTTAAAATGGCTTTAAGCTCCTCGATTTCGTCCATTTTCTGCTGGCCCTCCTCGCCTTCCCAGAAGCTTCCTTCAGTTTCATCGTCCTCCTGGTTTCCTTTCGAACCCCCTCGATTGGCTCGAACAGTCACGCGGCGCGATCCTGATGATGCTCTACCTTCCTGAAATCGTAATCGATCATTTCTATTCGAACGAACTGCTGGTTTCGAAGGAGCTAAAAAAGTCTTGATGCGTGCAGGGAGGAATGACGGAACTGACGAGGGATTGGCGAGAATTGAGGAGGATTGTAGCAAGGATGTAGGTCTCGGTTTTACAGTATGATGGGAGAATGCCGCGACAGTCGCCATCGCGGAGTCAGCCTGTAAAAGGGATGGAATGCGACCAAACCAGTAGGCTCGAGTAAGGCACGCTAAACAATTAGCCCGACTTAGGCGCCGCGAATCAAGTGCCGGATATCACAGATTCGCATCCAGAAAGTTGCCGCCATTCACGCATTCAACAGCATTGCTGATTGTCAACTACAGCCAGCTCTACTTGCTTCTAGCCACTTTTTTCGATGGATGGGTGGTACTATATTCGATCGGCCATTTATCGGAGCACTCTACCACTGCGAATTCACGCCAAAGACCAGACCCGAATATGCCTATGTACTATGGCAATGGAGGTACTCTGACAGGCTACTACATTTACGACCAGGCCGAGGAGCTAGGAACCTATTGTGGAGCATTGCGGGTTCAAGTACCTGCTCTGCCACCTTTCCAGCCACCAATCGCAGCATTTCCCGCTTTAATTTTCCGTGCCTCCGAGAGCCACGTGGCAAGATTCAGAAGTGATCATTGCTTTGTGGCCCTAGATTGTGTACCCGCTAAAGTAACACTCATATGTGTAAGAAATCACTTCAGATAGTACACTACTCATATTCGCAACTGTAAGAGTGGGTGCACGAGTAAATGTTGGACCTCAGAAATCACCAACCCATCGATGGCTACCTCTTTCCAATCTGAATTTCATGTAAAGTACAATCACATTCTGTTGGGTCAAAACTGGCTACATCTATCGTGCACAAAAGTTCGAGTAACAGGTCGTTTTTTTCTTCTGAGGCGGTTATTCTACAGCGGTTCGGTCTTCTATTCATTACCCGCCACCTCCACCACCATCATAGAAGCCAGTTCCCATCATTCCGCAGCCATAGGGACGCCCCGCGGCTTGAGAGTTACTGCAACTTCCAGCGCCAAAACCACGACGCAGAGATTCGATTCGAGGAAGTAAAAAAATAGGAGACAATACGTACTGTCCAGAGCAAGCCTGATGCGCAGGACTGAAGCCGCCTGAGCTACAGTTCTTGCAACTTGCCTTGAGATGAACTTTTGCAAACAGTCGAGTCAACTGCTGTAGTCGTAACTATTGCCATAGCGACGCAGGCGGCATGTGGTATGACGTACTGTACTAATCTTATCATTGCTGCTACGTCTGCGAGGCAAGAAACGTATTTTTTCTTTCACCGTTAGAGTCGTCCACCAACTTCGCCACAGCTTCCGCCAACCATGGAATGTGCGGCTGGGCACGCAGTCGGTAGCATGAGATCATATGATGTGCCTGTCCTGGGGAATCCGACTTGGAAACATTGGATGTGTATCAGCGGCACTGAAGGATGACGTAGGCGGTGCTGTTCCCGCACTGCACAATGGAGGTGCGAAGGGTCGCTGTTTGTGATTAAAACGAGGGCTGACCAGGAAGTGAAAGGGAGGTAGTATGTTGGGGTGTCCAGAACGTCGGTGGTTGAAAGGCGAGGCCGTTACACTTCCACTGGCGAGGCCGTTCTTCTCTATCCACAACCAGGGAGCTCCGCATACTTAAGGCTCTTGATGAAAAACGTTCTACAGCCTTGAGTTAGGGAACTAGAGCTCCGAGAGTGTGCATGTAGTACATACTAGCATCGTCATTTCATGAACCGCGCAGGTCTTCCAATCAAGTAGTTCCAGGCACTCTGCATCAACGCGAAGCTTTGAACAGCTACTTGAAGGGCCATAACAATGTGGAGCTCTGAACAGCATGGGCGAAATGATACCAACCTTGCTAAGTCCATTCTTTCCCCGTTGCACCGCCAAACAATGGATAATCGTCCTCCTCATGCTTCTAAATTGCACTCAACGGGCGAAGGTGGTAAACCAGCTCCCAAACCGACCATGGGTCCAGGAAGGAGAGAGCTGAATGGCATTTCTAATGTCATTGTGGGTGCTAGGAATTTCACGGTCTTTATGATCCACTTGAAACGAACAGGTAAACAAGATCTTGAATTACTCACTGCTAAGCTTTACACAGCATCATGTGTGCATGTTTGAACAAGTGGTTTGGTTGAGACCTGATTGCATCACCTTGCTTATGCTGGCGTTCGTGATTCATACATCTTCAGGACTTGACCCGATGATTGAGAGGTATGCGGATCGACAGCCTATCACCTTCCTGCTACCTCCAGACGCCGCGTTCAATGCTCTCCCGGCTAACATCTGCAGCCAACTAGCGGGCGTGAAGCTAGTGAAGCTGATTCAGTTCCACTTGCTTCTGGAGAAGTGGGCGTTTGCCTTCTTCAGCGAGCCAACTTTAAATCCTAGGCTCCGCTCACTCCGTACGGTTCTTGGGCTTTACATGTTTTTTCTCCCGCCGCAACCGGGAAGCAATACGGTGACTTTGCATTCTGGTAGGTCCTTGCATGTTGGCACTCCAGGCCAGGTGATTGGTGGTGACATTGGGGGAAGGGATAGATATCTTCGATTTATAGCGCAGAGATTAAATACGGTAGGATCATTATTCCTCCGGGGGTGTTTACTTAGAAATTACCGTAAGAGATTCCGGTGTTATTTGTCCACCGTTCAGAGATTGCATCAGGGTACTCATGGTCAAGAACGTCGCTTGCTTCACCGCTGATTTGGACTGTTGCGAACCAGACAAATTTGCACGAAGCAAAATGACAGGCGGCGAGCTACCAGAATGCTGACGACTATGCCAGGCTACTCCACGTGAGTTACTCCTATTAGTAGTAACAAGGTTCACCGTCCATGATGAACTAAATCTGCCGCCATGAGGTGAAAGAAGCCAGCTGAGGAAAAGAACGATCCTTGAGCTCTTAGGTTGCGATTCCAGTCAAATGTGCCATATCGAGCAACATTCCCAACGGAGGCTCACTCATACCGCATTTTCCCTCAAATGGTAATACCTGTTTCCCACTCGATCCTCTCTTGACGTTCTAACGGGGCTTCTTGTGGTGGATCTTGGAAGTGTAAGGGAGGTGTTCCTAGTGCGAAAAGAACACGGTACGTAACCAGCCCCAACATGACCTATCATGGTTGGCTATGACGACCTCTCGCTGTCGCATGGCCAACTTCAAACGAAGATTCCTGATGGAGGAAAAGCGCAAGGAGATTGGGACCACCATCCAACCAGCGCCCAACCAAAGCCCGCAATTGGTCAGCTCCCCCGATAACCAATCGTCCCATCGCCAGCACAGCCGTCCGATTCGCTGACCTCGAACTTTTCCCACAGGCCAGGACATGAAGAGCCGTGGATGCGAGCATGAGTCACCCGTTGACATGTCATGCCTGTCATCTTGTTCTCTGATTTCTAGTCCTGACCAGAAATTGAACCAGACTACAGGACTGGCGACAAGGCGGGTTATGGGAATGAGGAAGAGCACATGAATATTTTGAGGATTCCTTTCATTCCTCTTTCTCCTCCGTTCGCCTTTGGTTGGAGGAGCATTACTTTCCAGCCACTCCCACCGTCCTGACGCTCATTTATTTTTGGGACTGTGTTGCTCTACTAGCCGAGCAAAACGTGTTCACCACAGGAGCGTGGACGTGTGTTTCCTTCTAGGGACCAAGTTGTAGGCCAGTTGCGAGCTCAGGCCGTCCGCTTTCTTCCTCGCGTTGACAAGAAAGCCCATAATGGCCACCTTAGCTGCTGTCAGCGGCTCGACCCTGCTGCCCGTCAAATCTCTAAGCACAGTCTCTCGTTGCTCAGTGTCTGCGTGCTCAAACTCCAATGCCAGAGCGCCAGCTGGCAACGTCCAACAAAAACCTTGTTCTTCCTTTAAGTATTTGGAAAGCAGCATTGCACGAGCCCAGACGCTTATACCCTTTGACGGACCTAATTCACGAAGCAGAAATGTTTCCGTGCAAAGCGCGTGCCGAATAAACGGAGAGAGAACAGAATGTGGCTCGTCCATTGAAGATGTTCGGCTGATTGAGCAAGAGAAATCAGCACCACTATCCAGAAGCCGTTCCCAGCAGAGATTCCTCCAATGGCCATCAATTCCATCTGGCCTTTTCCCATCAGTAGTTCAGTCGCCTTCCCTGATCGCGTCTGCTTCCCTCGCAGCAGCAGCAGGTGCATTGTCTCTTTCCTTGCTAGGCCTTTCCTCGCCACAGTCAGCTGCAGCAGCGACAGCTGACGTCATCGCCGCATCCGCTGCCGTCCCAGCTGACGTCAGCAGCATTTTGGATCTCGCCGACTTCCAGGCCGGATTCGCTTCGGTGAGTGCCGACAGTTTTTTCAGGGTATTAATGAGAAATCTAAAAAAAAAGATGAGCGCAGCCATATTTCACAACGAATCATATACAACATGAGAGAAAATTCCTTTTCTATGTTTCCTTGTGAGGGCTGCTTCGTTCTGGCTTCATTTTGCGGACCGTCGTTCTAATGGTTCTGCTAGTTCGGCCTGACTGGGTTTCCCTGTCCCTTCGTCGTTGTGGGTTCAGGCCTTTCTTCTTGTGCTCTTCTCTGAAATCGGCGACAAGACCTTCTTCATCGCGGTAAGAAGTCAACTAGAGTGTCAGCTAGGTCGTCAACTAGGCTGTCAACCATCCCTCTGAATCACCACCATTATGACACCTCGCTTTGCGAACATGAAACGCGTTCCTTGTCTCGCACGGTCGTCGTCTCTGAGCACACAGAACGAACTCGCAAGCGTGTGCGCCTCCGCCTCTCCAAACAACCTCCCCCCCCCTTCCCCCTTCCCCCTTCTCCCCACCGTTTTCCCCATCAGGCAGTGCTGGCCACGAGGCGTCCCAATTTGGAGGTCTTCGCAGGCACCTTTGGCGCCCTCGCGTGAGTGTAGTGTAGTGTACTGTACTGTACTATACTGTAGCTCTGCTTTTGTTTGTGTACCTTGTGGACGCATTTTCACAAATCTGTCAACACTTTCTGGTCAAATCGTCTGTCGAATTTTCCTGGGTCATTACTCTGCTGCAGACGAGCTCCTTCTTCTTGCTCCTCACGTCCAGCTCTCTCTCCCTCTCCTTGCTCTCTCAGCGTCATGACAGTCCTATCGGTAGCTCTGGGCCGAATCTTCCACTACGCAGACGAGCTCCTTCCTGCGTAAGGTTCTCCTGTTTAAGTCACCTCTTTAACCGTACTCCACTCCTCGCCACTGCTCCGACCCCCCCATACCTCCATCCCACCAGGCGGAGAAGGCAGTGGCAGGGCTGAACACTGCAGAGGGCAAAGAGGGCGGCATCTCCCTGGCAGTGTGCTCGGCACGCTTCTAAACCGCACTCCACTCTTCTCCACTGCTCGCATTCCCCCATCCCACCAGGCGGAGAAGGCAGTAGCAGGGCTGAACGCAGCAGAGGGCACAGAGGGCGGCATCTCCCTGGCAGTGCTGGCGTCGGTGTTTGCGCTGGTGTTCACACCCGAGTGGGGTGACAAGTCCTTCTTCTCAACCATTGGTGAGACTCCTCTGCTCAGACTGCTCTATTGGATTCACATAGGAATGTGCGGGTGGGTGGTGGGAGGGAGGGGTAGGGTTGGGGGCGGGGGCATCACACACAATGGCGTCTCTGGCAGTGCTGGCTTCAGTGTTTGCTCTGGCGTTCACAGCAGAGTGGGGCGACAAATCCTTCTTCTCCACCATCGGTGAGCTGACTTGTCCCTTTGCCTCTATCCACGAGTCCACCATACATTCCACACCATGCTTCCCTCCCCAACAATCTCCTTCCTTCCATGCCTCGCCAACTTCCCCTCCCTGCCTCTCCTCCTAACCTTCCCCTACCTCTTCCCATGCCCCACCCATCCTCCTGCCCTGCCCCTCTCTACCACCCATCGTCCCATGCCTCACTGTACCACCCCATGCCTCACTGTACCACCCCATGCCTCACTGTACCACCCCTGCCTCACTGTACCACCCCTGCCTCACAGTACCACCCCTGCCTCTCTCCATATCCGTTCCTACCCCTTCCCATTCTTCACCCTGAATCCCACCATGCCCAACTCTACTGCCCCTTATCCCCTGCCGCACTCTACCACCTCGAACCTCTCCTCATACCCTTCCCTACCCCTTCGCTTGCCCCTCCTTGCCTCTCTCCCCCCATCAGCCCTGGCGGCAGCATCATCCCCAGCGGGAGTGGTCACAGGAGCCGGACCACCCACCCACCCCATTCCTACCTCCCTGCCTCTCCTCATCCAACTCTCCCCTGCCGCACCCTGCCTCTCCCTGCATCCCACCCCCATCAGCCCTGGCGGCAGCATCATCCCCAGCGGGAGTGGTCACAGGAGCCGTGGCGGCTCATGGGGTGGCGACAGTGGTGAGTTGTCAGCTGTTTGCCATGCCACAATATGCACAACATGCACACACACATGCACACACACACACACACACACACACACACACACGCACACACACACACACACACACACACACACACACACACACACACACACAGGATGGTCTCAGGAGCAGTGGCAGCTCAGGATGTGAGCATGAATTCCCATGCCAATCAATACATTCTTTTTCCCTATCATTACACCTTTGGTCCTCTCTCACTTTCCATTCCCCTCCATTCCTATAATCTTCCTTCCAACCGTTCCCCTTACATGACACTAACTCCGTAACTTGCACATCACACCCTCCCTCCACCTGCCACTCCCCCCGATGCTCCTTGTGCAGATGGCAGTGCTGGGCGGGTCATTCCTGTCCAAATACATCTCTGAGAAAGTAAGTGTGGTCATTGTGGTAGCAGGTGGGTGATAAAATGTTCTCTAGCAGTGCTGGGCGGGTCACTCCTGTCCAAATACGTGGGATTCACTCTCTTCCTCGTCTTTGCAGCCAAACTAGCTGAATTATTATTCCCAGTAATCAAATGACCCTTCCCTCTGTGCCGTCTCCCCATTCATACCATGGTTATGTTTCAACAGACTGTAGCCTACGTGGGAGGCACTCGCTTCCTGGTCTTTGCAGCAGCAACGCTGGCTGAAATCATTGCCAACACCGCTGCTGCTTGCAGGTGGGCAAGGGAAGGTGTAGGGGATAGGTGAAGAAGGATCAGGAGTATACACACCTCTTTCGTGTCCCTGTGTTGCTACCGCACTGACAAATATCCTATTCAATGCTTCTCATGTTTCAACAAGGCACGAGGATTGAGTTGCGTGAAGTGAATCATGATGTGATGTGACCTGGCACTGCAAAACCTGATCGTGTGAATGTATGCGGCGCAGGTTCCTGCTTGCTCTCCCAAGTCATGTGAATTGTGCAACCAGAACAGGGTTTTGCGACTGCAATTACCGTATTGTGTTTGTTCCAGACATCAAGATACAGGGGTTTTGTCACCAGCATTGGCCAATCCTTCGCTGGTTACATTATGCCAGGGCAATTTGCAATTGCTCCGACAAGTTGCTCGCACGGAAGGTTCCATGAAGTCCCTGCATAGTTATACCGCACAATGCTATGGCACAGTCGCGGCACACTAATAGTTCGGTTTTTACCCGTGCGGGGCGAACTGCAAGAGAAGGCACGCTGCGACTAGGTGTCAAACCATACCTGTTCAAGCAACGGGCCTGCGAGGTACAGGAAGCTAGAGGCTAACAACAAGAGAGTCATGCGAAAGGCAAAACATACCAGCAGGAGAGTCATGCAAAAGGCAAAAGGAAACAGCGGGAGAGTGATGGGAAAGGCAAAAGGAAACAGCGGGAGAGTGATGGGAAAGGCAAAAGGAAACAGCGGGAGAGTGATGCGAAAGGCAAAAGGAAACAGCGGGAGAGTGATGCGAAAGGCAAAAGGAAACAGCGGGAGAGTGATGCGAAAGGCAAAGGCTAGCATCAAGGGAGTCAGGAGAAAAGGCCAAGGCTAGCATCAAGGGAGTCAGGAGAAAGCCAAGAGCTACCATATCAGTTATTGGAAGATTTTGATCAGTCCACATCATCGTCGTCAAAATAGTAGAGAATCTCAACCCTCAAAAGGCAAGCTCACACTAAGAGCGTATTCCTATCCCACTGGAAATTCCCCTAAACCCAAAACCTCTCGCTAGTTTTACCAGGCAAAAAGTTCAATCTTGATATGAGGTTCAGTTGATACGAGGATAGGAATACGCTCTAACACCCGGAAAGGCATCAAAACATGTGCCCCGAGTGAGGATCGAACTCACGACCTTAGGATGGCTCCGCCCAGAACATTGGGAGTTTGAGTGCTATGAGACCTACGCGCTACCGACTGCGCCATCGAGGCTTGTCTGTTAAGGCTGATTAAAATATAAAATTTTATTTTTTTTATTCGTCCATTCCTGGGTGGCCGTCAATCGCAATCGCACCTGCTGCGAGTCTGCGTCTGCGACCCAACCATTTGTCATATGACGGTGCCGTCCAAAATGCTCATCGCTCACTCGTTTCCTTCCTTTTCCAGCCGCCACTGCAAGCTTGACAAAGAACATCACAACAAGCAAGCGGTGGCGAGTGAGGCGAGGGGGGAGAGAGAGCGAGTGCAGGAGAGCCGAGTGAATATTCTGCTGGGTTGGCTGGGAGCTTGAGAGTCTGGTCTGGTAGACTGGTATGGAGTCCGGGACACGGCTCTGGCCTGGGGCTGGCTGGGCTGGGGAAATCTGTGTTTGCTCTCAACACACATCAGTCATTGGTGGTCGTGGTTTCACCTCACCAGCACCTTCTCAACACGCGCCACATGAGCCGAACCAGGCCAGAGCAATCCAATCTTGCGTGAACGACGTTTTGCCCTGGTTCTCTTCTCTCGTCGCGTGTCGTTGTCTCCTCTAAAATTCTGCCGAGAGGACGACCATCAGTCATTCTCACTCTCAATTCTTTGCTCCACGCATCGTTCTTTGATTCTTGGAACCTCCCAGCAGCGTCTCTTCGCGAAACCTCTAGCACATTCCTGAGTGCAAAAGCACCGTTGGTCACCACAATATCTGTGCGGCGTGGTAACAGCGTCGCTCTGAGCGCTCACTGTTTTATGAACGCTGGAAAAGAGTTGGGACCCCACTGACGACGCTGACCACATTTAGCCTCGCGATTAAGAAACATTTCGGCCTCGAGACGTCTCAAACCAGGCCGTCGTTCGTCTCGCATTTCACCTAGATTGACGGAACCAGACCTTCCTAGTTGTGGGACCTTCAAGAAAGTTCCTTGCTAGTGACGCCGCCGTGTCGCTGAAGGTGTAGTTACAGCAGCAACGTGGAACTTATTGTCACAGATACTGCTTCTCTACACGACAACCTCGGCTCGTCACGAGCAACCGCAGGCGTTTATTTTGCCGACTCAAATGGCTTCTGAGCACCGCGACTCGACGACCGCCGGCCGCGTTTCGCGCCGTACTTTCCGGCCGTCAAGGGCTGGACGGGGCTCCGCGCGTCACCCGCTGCAGCCGCGCAACGAACCGTTCGCACCCGCCGCTAATGCTTCCCCCGAAACGCGAGTTTCCGCACCCGCAATAGTCCCCCCTCCTGCGACTCGTACTCTCAGTCGCAACGGAAGCCTTCTTGTCGTTAGCGGAGAGCCGCGGCGGGATCTAAGCATGCCAGCTGTCAGGCTCGCCGCATCTCACGGCGGTTCTAAGGCTAGTTCTTCGGATCTAGTTACACGACCGCTGCAGCGCCCGCTTCGGAGCTTGAAGTTCCCCGCGATTCTCGCTTCCGTCTCCGCCTCTCACGCGGCGCCTCCGGGCCTCGGCCTCGCGCCGAGGTTCGGTCCGAGCCTGCTGCCGAGCCAGCCGGATACGGACGATATTTTCCCGTTACCGTCAAGCCCGGAGGAGCTTCAGCGCGCTGTGATTGGCTGGCTGGAAGAGAAGGCGTCGCGCGTGCGTAACTTGTGCAACGGGCAGCTTAGCTTGCGGACGACCACCCCGGAAGCCGGCGGACCGGCGCAGGTCACTACGCGCGCGGGCGCGGGCCCGCTTGCGCTTGAGGCGCAACTTATCGGCGCAGTATCGTCCGCCCATGCGCATCTCAACCGCGCGCAGATGTCGGCGCAGCGGAAACTTCAAGCCGCTGTGAATTCGGCGGGGGATGGCGCAAACAGCGCGCTAGTGGCACTTACACGCGGACTCGATGGCGCAGTGACAACGGCGCGCGGGAAATTGGCGCAAACAGCAGGGATTGGCGCGGGGATTGGCGCGGGGATTGGCGCGGGATTTGGCGCGCCCTTGCTCAGTTCGGTGGCTGGGTTTGGCGCGCGGCGCGGGGAACGCGAAGGCGGAAGCGGAGGCGCGGATGCTGTCTTTGCGGCGGTTTGGGGAATTCTGGTGCCGAATCGTGCATGTATACGGCAGCTATAAGGTGAATACACTAACCATTACGCATATACATACCCGCATTAGAGCTAAAATTTCATAAAGGGCTGCGCTTAATTCCGCATGATGTACAAAAAGAGTAAAATCGCATTGTAAAAAAAAGTGTTGTGAATTCTCTTCACCTGCTCCCCACACCCCATCTCCTCCTTCTCCCCCCACAGGTTTGCCAACTCCACACATCCCTCGCTCTCCCCCTACCAGGCAACCGCCGCCTCTCCTTACTCACAGACGCACAGAAGCATGAAGCATGGGAGAGGCAGCACGAGCGGGCGGCGGACCTGCTCCACTCCCTCTGCACTGAAATGCGCGGGTTCTTCCTTAAAGCGGGGCAGTTCTTAGCGAAGCCTGACGTGTCGCCTCCCGCGTGGGTGGCGAAGCTGGCCTCGCTGCACGATGCTGCTCCTGCTGACCCGTTCCCGGTGGTGTGTGCGACGATAGAGGGGGAGATGGAGGCATTGACTGGGAGGAAGGGGGTGCGGTGGACTGAGGTGTTTGCAAGGATTGATGAAGAGCCTCTGGGTTCAGCCTCTATTGCTCAGGTATGTTGTGACAATGTTTCCGGTGTGTTACAAGGTCTGGTGTGGGAGTGTTGTTCCCGGTGGTGTGTGCGACGATAGAGGGGGAGATGGAGGCGTTGACCGGCAGGAAGGGGGTGCGGCGGACCGATGTGTTTGCAAGGATTGATGTGTTTGCAAGGATTGATGAGGAACGCTGGGTTCGGCCTCTATCTCTCAGGTGTGTTACTGTGTTAAAGTGTTACAATGTCACGGTGCTAACTGGAGGCGTTGACTGGGCGGAAGGGGGTGTGGTGGACTGAGGTGTTTGTGAGGATTGACGAAGAGCCTCTGGGGTCTGCCTCTATCGCTCAGGTGTGTTACTGTGTTACAGTGTTAAAGTGTTACAATGTCACGATGCTAACTGGAGGCGTTGACTGGGACAAAGGGGGTGCGATGGAGTGCGGTGTTTGCGGGGATCGATGAAGAGCCTCTGGGTTCGGCCTCTGTTGCCCAGGTATGTTACAGTGTTACACCACAATACAGTTCCACAAAGCTATGATGTTATTTTGCTACCCAAATGTTGTGTTTTGACACTCAGGAGTGTTACAGTGTGACGAGGTTACACAGTTTCATGTTATGCGCTGTTTGTGAGTGTTGTTCCCCCCCACAACCTCTCCCGTTCTCTCTCCCCCATTCCTCGGGTTCAAAGAGCGTGGTTGCATCATGGCAGGTGCAGCACAGGGGGCCGCAGCCTCTCATGCTCACAGATCTCGCCAACCTCACCGCCTCCTTTCCCCTCCTTCCCAACCACATCACCCATCACCCTTCATTCCCTCTGCCCACTTGCCTTTGGCAGGTGCACGGGGCATGGTTGCATGACGGCAGGAAGGTAGCACTAAAGGCACAACACAGGGGAGCGCAGCCTCTCATGCTCACAGACCTCGCCAACCTCTCAAGGCGTTCCCCTCCCCTACCCTTTCACCCCCCCTGTCCCACTTGCCTTTCTCAGGTGCACAGGGCGTGGCTACACGACGGCAGGAAGGTGGCACTGAAGGTGCAGCACAGGGGGGCGCAGCCTCTCATGCTCACAGACCTCGCCAACCTCAAGGCGTTCGGGGGGTTCCTTCAAAAGACAGAGCTGAAGAACCTGGACATTGTGTCGGCTCTGGTGGAGCTGGAGAAACAGGTGAGGGCTGATCCGTGCGGGCGTTTGCACTGTTGCTCACTCGCTAGGTGCTTTCGTTTCTGCAGAAGACAGAGCTGAAGCACATGGCCATTTGTGTCGGCTCTGGTGGAGCTGGAGAAGCAGGTGCGGGCTGAGCCATGTTTGGGGAGCCTGAAAGCCTGAAAGCGTGCTTGCACGTTCAGTGCGTTTCTGCAGAAGACAGAGCTGAAGCACATGGATATCGTGTCTGCTCTGGTGGAGCTGGAGAAGCAGGTGAGGAGGTTGCTGTGGGTTGGTGAGGGTGGGGAAACAGGTGAGGCTTAAACCTGTGCTCTGGTATGCACCATTGTGTCTCTTGCCCGCTTGGAGCTTTCGTTTCTGCAGAAGACAGAGCTGAAGAACATGGACATTGTGTCAGCTCTGGTGGAGCTGGAGACACAGGTGAGGAGGGTGGAGAGAACACGGGTTCGCTAGCATGCAGGTAGGAGGGTGGTATGCGCGTTCAGGGCATTTCTGCAGAAGACAGAGCTGAGGCACATGGATATCGTGTCAGCTCTGGTGGAGCTGGAGAAGCAGGTGAGGGTGGGGGTGCAGGTGTGGCTTACACGTGTGCTGCTCTGGTATGCACCATTGCACTCTTGGTGCCTTCGCTTCTGCAGAAGACAGAACTGAGGCACATGGACATTGTGTCGGCCGTGTTTTGAGTCGACTCAAAACACAACTCAGAACTGAGGCACATGGACATTGTGTCGGCTCTGGTGGAGCTGGAGAAACAGGTAAGGGTGGAGAAGCAGGTGAGGCATACACGTGTGCTCTGGTACCCGTGTGCTCTGGTACCCGTGTGCTCTGGTACCCGTGTGCTCTGGTACCATTCTTGCTCCACGCTTGGTGCTTTCGTTCCTGAAGTGGACGGAACGGATAGAAGTTGGGAACTGAGAACGTTTCTTGTTTTGTCCCACGTTCCCCTTCCAAGTGCGGCTGGAGTTTGACTTTTGGATAGAAGCAGCAGCCATGGAGAGGGGTTCACCTGGCGCCGATTGTTGGTGTGGTGGGGAGAAAGATAATTGAAATGTTCGCATGACGCTGAGAGGCAGTGCGGAGAGATATGACTGGAATGAACGGCTAAGAGAGATGTGCGCTCTTGTGCCCACTTCCCCCCCTGCAGGTGGGGCTGGAGTTTGACTTCCGAATCGAAGCAGAGGCAATGGAGCGGGTTCACCTGGCGCTGAGCTGAGTGACTGATGGGAGAATGATGACGAAAACTGATGGCTAAGAATGTATGCTCCGTTGTGCCCATCTTTCCCCTACCCTGCAGGTGCGGCTGGAGTTTGACTTCCGAATCGAAGCAGAGGCAATGGAGCGGGTTCACCTGGCGCTCAGAGACAGTGGGAAGGGTGGAGAGATGGTGAGAAGAAAATCAACGGCAGCAGCAGGAGGAGCAGGAGGAGCAGAAGACGGAGCAGTCAAGAGCAGAGGTGGTGCTAAGCAGAGGAGGAGAGGTTCGAAACAGCAGCAATCGGAACGCAGCAGTCACGTCAACTCTTCCTTTTCACCATTCACCTCCTCCTCTTCCACCTTCTCCTCTTCCTCCTCGCCAGTCGTGGTGCCTCGCCCCGTTTCTGGCCTCGTGAGCCGACAGCTGCTGGTGATGGACTTGATCGACGGGTCGCCGCTGCTCAGAGTAGCAGAGCAGATGGGAAGCAAGGCAGATGGATTCTTTGCCAGAAGGATGAAACGGTGAGTACCTGGCGATCAGTGGTGGTGTGTTGAGATGAGTACCTAGTTGCCTGCCAGTTGTGGTGCCGCGCCCCATCCCCGGCCTCGTCAGCAGGCAGACAGCTGCCGGTGATGGATCTCATCGACGGCTCTCCGCCCCTCAGAGTAGCACAGCAGATGGGTGCCACGGTGGATGGATTCTTTGCGTCAAGGATCAAGAGGTGAGTGGGAGTGCTGTGGGTGGTGAGATTGGTGTGAGAGGTGAGTGACTGGCTATCCTCCCTTACCTCCTCCTGCTGGCGAAGAACCGCTTCCCTGGACTCATTACTATATGTCCCCTCCACCCTTCCCACCCCCCGCCCACACCCTTTCTTCCCTACCCTTTGCTCGAATCTCCTGTAGGTCAATATTCCATTCCCTCGGGGAGGCATACGGCCTCATGATCCTCCGCGATGGCTTTTTCCAAGCTGACCCGCACCCCGGAAACATTCTCATCTGCCCGGACCGAAAGGTCGCTCTCCTCGACTACGGGCAGACAAAACTGATCTCCCAGCAGCACCGGCTGCAGCTCGCCGAGCTGATCCTGGCCATCGGTGACGGCGACGCGAGGAAGATCGGACGGCTGTACAACGAGATGGGGTTCGAGCTGAGTATGACAGCCGAGGAGAATCCAGAGAGTTTCAAGTGGATGGCGACTCTAATGTTCGACACGCGGTCGGCGAAAGGCGCCACCACATCGAACCCATTTTCGGAGGAGCATGCGGCGCAGAACAACGGCGTGAGGAAATTTCCTGAGGATTTGTTTTTTGTGGTGCGGTCGGTGCAGCTGCTGAGGGGGATCTGCATGGGCATGGGTTTGAATGAGTCGCTTGCGGAGCAGTGGCGGCCGATTGCACGACAGGCGATTCGCGAGGCGCAGAGGCAGCAGCAGCAGCGGTGAATTGAGGGAGCAGCAGCACCAGTGAAGAAGTCAATAGAGAAATCCGTGGTCTGCTGTGGTGTGTGGGGAGAGCAGATGCAGTTGCTGAGGGGGTTTTGCATGGGCATGGGGTTGAATGATCGCTTGCCGAGCAATGGAGGCCAATTGCTCGGCAGGCGATTAGGGAGCCGCAGATCCAGAAGCCAGAAGCAGCAGCAGCATCAGTGAGGAAGTAACAAGAGTACTGGTGGTACTGTAACTGCTCTCTGTGGTGTGCTCGACGTTTTTTAGCGGTTTTCTTGCAGAGTATATGGGATTGTTGCTCCTCAGTGTGTGTTTGGAAACACCTGGAGCTCCAAGCATGCTTCAACACGGCCTGTCATAGCAAAAGGGCTGTGTTGAACGATGCTTGGAGCTCACCTTCTATTGTAGGCACTGTGATTTGTGAGTGTACTACTGTGCTATATATGGGATAATGCTTACTGAAAATGACGCAAACATTTTGGGAGTCTGGTTATGGTTACATCCGATGGTCGTTCGATCGCCAGATGATTTCGCAACCGCACAACACGAAAACACGACGGTTCGTCATCTCCTCACGAAAACGTCGTTGACCGCCACCACCCTCCCTACTCGCATCGCCTTCCTGAAGGCGATTCGTCCCTTCACAAGGGAAACCCAATTTTCAAATTTCCTTGAATGTCCTCCCTCCCACCCATTTGCAAAATTGCGCCCATTCGCGACAATTGCAACATATGCCTGCATTCGCCACGATTTGCCAAGCCCTCCCCACGCACACACACTTGAAACAGCCTTGTCATGTCACTCCCAAAATTTGCTATCAAAACCGCAACTCAAGGCGCCCTACCAAACAGCTTTCGTGACTGAACGCCGTCCACAGCTCCTACTCGCCGATTCCAACGTCACTGCATTTCCACCGCCAACAGCAGCGGCACGGCAGGAGTAGTGCTGCAATCATTGTCAAAGCAGAGACTTTCAGCTCCTCGCACGTGGCTGTAACTTGCAATGAAACTGAGCGTCGAGACTGGCAACCGTGATGTGACAGGCTTTGACTTTAGACGTTTCTAAGCTAAAAACTGACATCTCAAAGCTTGCAGCAGAGCGTTGAGAAGGCCACACAGGCCTGAGTGGCAGCAACACGCAACCTCGTCAAGTCCGAGGGGCCCTGGGTCAGACCAGGGCTTCACTCATCTCGACTTATCCAGAGGAACGCGTCTCTTCCGCAGCAGATCATACGCACTTCACGTGTGCTTTGACTCGACTCGGAAAGTACAGCGTGCTCTCTGAGAGTTCAGACTAGAAGCTGTGTACATCCCACTTTTAGTGACAGGCATTGACAGGTGGAACGGCAGCAGTACGCGGCCTCGTCAATTCCGTCAGGTAACGACAGGTATACGCGACCTATCCCGTCAATTAACGGCAGCAAAACCTGACCTCGTCCATCCCGTCCGCTAGTCAGCTTCTCGAGCCTGGAGGATGTCGCCGTGCGAACTGCAGCAGTCACCGTCTTCCGTTCGTGACCTTCGAGACTCGAGATGCTATCGGTAGTTTCACGGACGGACAGCACGCAACGCATGTGCACGGTATCATTTGGCATAGTGAAGAAACATCGCGTGCGCAATTCGCTTGTGTGATGGGTCCCTCGGAGACGGACTTAGACTCGGGCGACGATCCCTCGGACAACCAAGGAACATCCAGTGCGCAATTCGCGCGTGTGATTCCTGTGTGATTCCCTCTGCAAGTTGTGCGCTGACTCGTCGCCGTCATTATCGTACGCCATTCCTCTATCAGCAAATGCCTCGGGAAGAAACAGCCTGTTTCTGCCCGAGAGCGCCGCGGCGCTCCATCAGAAGCCGATTTCTCCTTGAGCGAGTATTCGAGAGTGACTTTCGAGTCTATTCGATAGTAATTGAGAGTGCTGTCGCTGTCGTAAGAGTGTGCTCACACCGTGTGGCGTCACATGTGTGGCGGAGCGCTTCGAGGCTCGATATATGTGACACGCCTCCGCGCCCGAACCGACTCGACTAGTATTCGCGCCGAAATGCTTGCGGTCGAAGATTCGGGGTAAGGGGAGGAGCATGCACTCGTAGCCCCCTGATGGACCCCTCTTCACTAGTATGCGAGAGTGCAGTGGCGTTACTAGTAGCACTACTGGGGACGTCTACTAACACTATCTATCCTCATCAGTTCGCTTCTGACAATCGACTTTGACACACTGTTACTGGGTAAAGGTGCCTGGATAGTACTTGGAAGGGCTCTGGAGTGCATGAGTGCGTGTGTGCGTGCTAAAAAAGGTGTCTAATAAACAGTAGAACGCGCGTTTCAGCAATTCGGCGCTCGCACTGCCAACTGCGTGCGATTTTCGTCAGGCACCTCGCCACTTCCGAAGCGTTACCCGCTTGATCGCTACTCGAATCCCGCGGCTACCTTAGCCCACGTGCGCTTCGACTCAAGTCCAGATTCACTGAACCGAGTACTCGCATGGAATCATCTGGCGCGGCTGACGGCGAGCGGCCGTCGCGTTTTAGCACGCAGCCGCCGAATCCGCTGTCGCTGTTATCGCGTCGAGTGCAGAGGGGCTCCGCGATTGCCGAGGCGCTTCGGAAACCGAATCCGTTGTCGCTGCTGTCGCGTCGCGTGCTCATGGCCTCCGCGTCGCTGCTGCACTCCCCACCTTCTCCCTCCAATCCGCCCGTTTCGCCGTTCCTCCTGCCCCCTTCGCAATTGCCGCTGTTACCACCGCCTTCGCCAGCGTCGCCCGTGTCACCAGCACCCCCAGCGTCGCCAAAGTCGCCAGCGTCGCTTCTGGCGTCGCAGCCTTCGCCAAAGTCCCCTCGGCAAGGGAAATACCTCCGAACTGAAGGCTCAGACGAGCCATCGTCTAGGGCTGCTTTGGACAGCCGAATCGACTCAAGTAAAGTCGAAACGTCTAAGACCGTCGAATGGATACCGGAAACCCCACAGTCGTGGCTGGAGACATGGGCTGATCCGATTTCCTCCTCCTGGAAAGAAGAACGCGTGCAGAGGGAACTAGGAAGGGATGTGGGATGGAAAAAGGAAGATTGTGTCGACGAAACTAGAAGTGGCGCAACAGCGCGTCTGGATAAAGCGAGGCAGTTACAGACGAGGATGCAGACGGAAGCTGAGAAAGTGAAATTGGCCGTGCAGGAGCGAAGCGAGGCGCTGAAACGAGGGGTGGAATTCTTACAGCGGGATATGGAAACGCAGGAAGAGGCAGTGAAGCGAGGGGTGGTGTCGTTGCTATGGGATGTGGAAGCACAGAACGATGCTCTAAAACGAGGGCTGGTGTCTCTACAGCGGGACGTGGAAGCGATGAATGAGAAACTGAAACGAGGGGTAATCTCGTTACAGCGGGATGTGGGAGTACAGAACGAGGCACTGAAGCGAGGGCTGGTGTCGCTGCAGCAAGATTTGGACGCACAAAACGAGGCAGTGAAACGAGGAATGGTGGCGTTACAGGGAGATGTGGAGGTACAGAGCAACAGGCTGAAACGAGGGATGGTGGCGTTACAACGGGATGTAGAGGCGAACGTGCTGTCGTTTCAACGAGGAGCTGAGTTCTGGCGGCGTATAGTGCACCTGTACGGCAGTTACAAGGTGCGTTTCATCTTCCAAAGAATTTGAACAACAGGTTTCATTTCTTTTGGGTTGCATGCATCCGTTCATCCTCATTTCCTCGTTCTTTCTACTCCCCTTCCCCTCCCCTCCTTCCTTTCCTTCCTATTCATCTCCCGGACCCCCTGTCCTCCCCTCCCCCTTCCCCTCTCCCCATATTCGCTCTTACTATTCCCCCTATCCTCCTATCCTCCCCAGCTCTGTCAGCTCCAGGTGGCAGTGAGCGGCCAATCAGAGGAGGAGAAATCTGCCACGTGGCAGAGGCAGCACGAGAGCGGAGCCGAGATGCTCTATGCCCTCTGCACCGACATGAAGGGGTTCTTCCTCAAGGTGTGACAATCGAGAATGTGTGACTATAGCGAGTGTATGACTGTAGCCCAAAGGAGTGACCAATAAGGTGACTGTCTGAGTGAACTGAGGGGAGCGGAGATTCTCTATGCCCTCTGCACTGACATGGAAGGATTTTTCCTCAAGGCGTGACTATAGCGAAGGTGTGAGAATAAGCAAAGGAATGACCAATGAAGTGGAGTGGACTGAGAGGGGTGGCGAAGATAAAGACCTTATGGACTGATAAAAACACGTTCTTGAACCAGGTGTGACTGTACCAGAATGAGTGCACCTAGATTCTGCTTCCTAAGTGTAGTGTCAGGATAAGAGCGGACCCAGATACGGATGTGACGGTTTTTTATCGATTATATATCTTTTTGATACCGTTTCAAAACAGCTCTCATAGCTCAGTTGGTTAGAGCACCCGTTTAGTAAGCGGGAGGTCTTGAGTTCAACTCTCAATGAGAGCAGTCGTGGCGCTGTTGATAGAAAATTTTGTTATCAACTTTGCCCCCAAAAGCTGGAAACTCAGTCAGTTTCAAGAGAAGCCAGGCCTCTCCCCACCTGTGTGTGTGAAGCATCTCTCTTCATGACCCTTCTCCTGCTCACATGGAATAAGATGGGTTTTGAGGCGTCTCAAAACTCACCCCTCTACTCACCGTGACCCTACTCCTGCGCTCCCTCCCTAACTCCAATTTCCCTTCCCCTTCTCTTTCCTCTTTCCACTTTCCGCTTCCACTCCCCATCCCCCTCTCTTGCCGCATCCCAGGCGGGTCAGGTCCTAGCGAAGCCAGACCTCTCCCCACCAGCGTGGGTGGCTAGCCTCTCAGCCCTCCACAACACTGCTCCTTCTCACTCATTCCTTAAATCCCCGCACCTCCCACTCCCCACCCCACCAAACACAGGCGGGTCAGTTCTTAGCCAAGCCGGACCTCTCCCCACCAGCGTGGGTGGCTCGCCTCTCTGCCCTCCACGACGCTGCTCCTGCCGACCCGCTCCCCCTCGTGCTGCGGACCATTCAAGAGGAGTTGGGGGGGGTGGGGTGGAAGGAGGTGTGGGAGTGGGTGGTGGAGAAGCCACTTTGTGTTCTCCCTCACACCAATACCCCTTCTCTTTCCCAATACAGGCGGGTCAGTTTCTAGCCAAGCCAGACCTCTCCCCGCCAGCGTGGGTGCGTCGCCTCTCAGCCCTCCACGACGCTGCTCTGGTCGACCCTCTCTTTCCCAACACCCAACTCACTTTCCCCTTTCCCTAAAACACAACACAGGCGGGTCAGTTTCTGGCGAAGCCAGACCTCTCCCCACCAGCGTGGGTGGCTCGCCTCTCTGCCCTCCACGACGCTGCTCCTGCCGACCCGCTACCCCTCGTGCTGCGGACCATTCAAGAGGAGCTGGGGGGGGTGGGGTGGAGGGAGGTGTGGGAGTGGGTGGAGGAGAAACCGCTGGGGTCTGCTTCGATTGCTCAAGTGCACAGAGGGAGGCTGAGAGGCGGCAAGGAGGTTGCTATCAAGGTAAGGTTCTGCATGTGAGGAGGAGGATCACTGTATCACTAGGTGCAGGGCAGTCGGGTCACAAGGGGCAAGGAGGGCTCGAGGGCAGGTGAGGTGTGCAGGGACGTGTGGTAGTGGGTGGAGGAGAAACCATTGGGATCTGCTTCGATTGCTCAAGTGCACAGAGGGAGGCTGAGAGGCGGCAAGGAGGTTGCTATCAAGGTAAGGGGGTCACCATCAATATCTGAATGTCCTTTTTTTGTAATATATATATGTATATAAACATATATATATTTTGCCTTTTTTGGGGCCTTTTTCGGGCCTTTTTCTGCCTTGCATCCTTCCTGATGACCACGGAGCATCCTTCCTTAATGAACATTACCTGGATGTTGCACTCCGCATGCGTCCGCCCCTCCCTTGCTACACACTTTCAGGTGCAACATGAAGGCGCAGAGCCCCTCATGCTCACAGACCTCGCCAACCTCAAAGCCTTTTCTACCCAACCCCATGTTCCACCGTTTCCCCACATTGTTTGTCTACTGTCACACGTGCACACTGTCAGGTGCAGCATGCAGGTGCCGAACCCCTCATGCTCACAGACCTCGCCAACCTCAAAGCCTTTTCTACCCAACCCCATGTTCCACCGTTTCCCCACATTGTTTGTCTACTGTCACACGTGCACACTGTCAGGTGCAGCATGCAGGTGCCGAACCCCTCATGCTCACAGACCTCGCCAACCTCAAGGCCTTTGCTGCGTTCCTACAGAGCACAGAGCTTAATCTGGACGTGCTGGGAGCGCTCAAGGAGCTGGAGAAGCAGGTGGGATACTGGTTGGCTGGATGGTAGGTGTGTGGGTGGGGGTGTGGTTGCGAGGTGCAGCGGAGAGGGAGGCTGCGTTCCTGCAGAGCACAGAGCTTAATCTGGACGTGCTGGAAGCGCTCAACGAGCTGGAGAAGCAGGTGGGCTTGCCTGGATTAATATCCGCACCGCATGGCTGTAGAAAGTGTTTTGGGTTAGTGGTTGGGGTGCTGCATTTGTACAGAGCACGGAGCACAGACGTGCTGGGGGCACGGAACGAGCTGGAGAAGGAGGTGGGTGGTGTTGGTTGGGTGGCTGGATGGCTGCTTACACATGGGGTGTCACTGGGAGGTGCAGGGGAGTGGCTGGGGTCTTCCTACAGAGCATGGACCGGTTGGGTAGGTAAATGTCATGGGAGCTCTCAACGAGCTGGATGGAGCATGGACCGGTTGGCTGGATGGCTGCTTACAAATGTCATGGGAGCTCTCAACGAGCTGGATGGAGCATGGACCGGTTGGCTGGATGGCTGCTTACAAATGTCATGGGAGCTCTCAACGAGCTGGATGGAGCATGGACCGGTTGGCTGGATGGCTGCTTACAAATGTCATGGGAGCTCTCAACGAGCTGGATGGAGCATGGACCGGTTGGCTGGATGGCTGCTTACAAATGTCATGGGAGCTCTCAACGAGCTGGATGGAGCATGGACCGGTTGGCTGGATGGCTGCTTACAAATGCCATGGGAGCTCTCAACGAGCTGGATGGAGCATGGACCGGTTGGCTGGATGGCTGCTTACAAATGTCATGGGAGCTCTCAACGAGCTGGAGAAGGAGGTGGGCGTGGTTGGTTGGTGGACGGTTGCTGTATGTTTGCAAAGTGTAGGGGAGTGCGTGTGCATGTGTGCGCGCATGTGTGTCCGCGTGTGTGTGTGTGTCATATTGCGGAGGAAAATACCAAATTTGCCTTTGTCTTCTTCGATTCTCGTTCTCTCTGTCCTTTCCCCCATCCTTGCCCTCTCTGTCCTTTCCCCCATCCTTGCCCTCCTCCTGACAATCCATTCCTGCAGATCCGGTACGAGTTTGACTTCCGAAGGGAGGCCGCAGCCATGGATATCATCCGAGCCTCGCTGGCAGGTTCGGCAGCATCAGGCACGGGAGCAGCAGCAGCAGCAAACCGGAGGCAGAAAATCAGGAGACGGTGGAACCCTTTTTCGCGGCCTGTTGCCACTGCTACTGCTTTCGCTGCTCTTACTGCCCTTGCCGCTACAGCCCCTGCTGCTACTGCTGCTGCTGCTGCTACTGTGGGTGCCATTGGTTCTGCTGCAACTGCTGTTGCTGCCGCTACTAGTTCTCCCCCTGCTGTTTCTGGTGCAGCTTCCCCTGTGGTGGTGCCTGCATCTGTCCCAGGGCTCGTGACCCAGCGCCTGCTAGTGATGGACTTAATCAACGGCTCTCCAATTGTCAAGATGGAGGAAGAGATGCGAGCCAAAGGAGTCAACCCCAACGGCTACCTTGCTACCAGAGCCAAGAGGTGAGTGTGATGGGTCGATAGGGCTGCTAGTTTTGCTGCTGCTGTGCCTGCGTCTGTCCCCGGGTTGGTGACCCAGTGGCTGCTAGTGATGGATCCGATCAAGGGCTCTCCTCTTGCCAGCATGGAGGAAGAGATGAGAGCTAAAGGAGCCAAAGGAGTCAGCCTGCGTCTGTCCCAGGGCTGGTTACCCAGCGGCTGCTAGTGATGGATCTGATCAACGGCTCTCCGCTTGTCAAGATGGAGGAAGATATGCGAGTCAAGGGAATCAACCCTGACGGCTTCCTTGCTACCAGGGGTATAAGGTGAGTTGCTGCTGCTGCTGTGCCTGCGTCTGTCCCAGGGCTGGTTACCCAGCGCCTGCTAGTGATGGATCCGATCAAGGGCTCTCCAATTGTCAAGATGGAGGAGGAGATGGGAATCAAAGGAATCAATCCCAACGGTTTCCTTGCTATGAAGGCAAAGCGGTGAGTACCAGCGCCAACAGGTGAGCGCCATGGGTCACCAAGCGGCTGCTAGTGATGGATCTGATCAAGGGCTCTCCGATTGTGAAGATGGAGGAAGAGACGAGAGGCAAAGGAGTCAACCCCAACGGCTACCTTGCTACCAGAGCCAAGAGGTGAGTGTGATGGGTCGATAGGGCTGCTAGTTTTGCTGCTGCTGTGCCTGCCTCTGTCCCAGGGCTGGTGACCAAGCGGCTGCTAGTGATGGATCTGATCAAGGGCTCTCCTCGTGTCAGCATGGAGGAGCAAATGAGAATCAAACGAATCAACCCCAACAGCTTTCTGGCTATGAAGGCAGGGCAGTGAGTGCAATTCGCTATAGTGCTTCAGTGATGCACTATAGGGCTGGTAATAGTTGAGTGCAATGCGGTACAGTGCTGGTAATAGATGAGTGCAATGCGGTACAGTGCTGGTAATAGGTGAGTGCAATGCGGTACAGTGCTGGTAATAGGTGAGTGCAATGCGGTACAGTGCTGGTAATAGGTGAGTGCAATGCGGTACAGTGCTGGTAATAGGTGAGTGCGATGCACTGGAGAGTCTAGCAATGGAGTGGAATCTAAGGGGGGTTCTGGATTTGTACTCTTGTGGCGTTTAATGCCCCTTTCTTGCCTTTGTTCTGTGTTCGTATCCATCCCTTTCTTGGACAGGTCAATCTTTCGGTCACTCGGGACAGCTTATGGGCTGATGATCTTGCGAGATGGGCATTTTCAGGCCGATCCCCACCCAGGAAACCTCCTCATCTGCCCTGATAGAAAGGTCAGTCATTCAAATTACTTCCGCAGCAAATCATTTATTTTCAAACCAAGTTGTTACTGGTATAACATCATTCCACACTCCTCAATGACTTCATCAAACACTTTGCTTCCATTTCCCAATTGTATCCACAGGTTGCTTTGTTGGACTACGGTCAGACTAAGCGCCTCCCAGACTCTCTCCGTCTAAACCTGGCACGATTAATGCTAGCAGTGGCTGACAAAGACCTGATAAGAGTCGGCTCACTGTTCCAAGCCTTGGGCATCCGAACTACCAGGACGGTTTTCGAAGATCCCAAGAGCTTTCACCGCATGTCTTCACTCATGTTTGACACTGCTATGTCGGAAGGTGTGACGACATCAAACCCGTTTGCGAGCGAATCGACCCTGAAGAGAAATGGAATTGAGGTATGTCAGCTTGCTTTGTTATTTGTCTACACGACCACAAGTGCCCTATTCCCTTCACAGCAGATTCATTATCAACAAAGGCTGCTATTACAAGCATCCATTGTGTACCCCCCCTGTTACTTCCTTCGCAGAAATTCCCTGAAGATCTGTTCTTTGTGGTGCGCACCATGCAGCTGCTAAGAGGGCTTGCGATGGGCATGGGGCTGAACGAGTCTCTTGCCGAGCAATGGCGGCCGATAGCACAACAAGCGCTCAAGGAAGCCGGTGGAACTTGAATTCTACTTGAGCTCTGTACATAGGCTAGGAGAAAATACTGTTAGCACAAATCCCCACACAAAATCTCCTCTGTAGCCTTTGTTCGAGAGTATTGGACCCCACCATCTGGTTCATACTTTTACTTTCCACCATCTGCTTGTGCTGTCGCGAATCACTCAAAATAGGAAACGGCAACCTCAAGGGAAACGACAAATATCATGTCTGACAGAAATCACAGGACCACAACAAATGGTTCCCTCACAACCTAAAAACTGCTCTGTTGTGAATTTTGGCAAACCCGCGCCACTGACGGTCGTCATGTCACGTCAACTATGGGGCTTGTGTGGGTCATGTCTACTATGTGCAGTAGCTGAAATCACAGTGAGACCGATCCTTGCTCTGGTATGTTTCAGACGGAAACGGGTTTCACTCGTGACTATCAGCGTATAACTAACCCAGTAAAGCCGTGACCGCGATGAACAATTTCCTCCCAGGAATTCCTCGGCTAAACGCGATGTGGACTCGTGAGTCGTGACCGCTTTACGTAACGTGTCACATTCAGCCAATTGGACGCGAACGAATGGACGTGAATGGCGGGAAGCGAAGACGGGAAGTGATGAGACGGGAATCCAACTCGCTGATGGCACCTGACCTTCACCGCTTCTGCAGCAATTAGCGCGAACTACTATGTGCAGCTATTAAAGAACCACCTTATGAGTCAACTTGAAAGAGCTCCGTGGGTGTGGACCTCTCGGCTTACCCATGCAATTGAGTGCATGTCTAAGGAAAATTCGTTTTCCTTACTTCGCGCCCCTGCTTACCGCGTAAAACCATTCCCACCATCGGCACCCAAACAGTGAAACGTTACCCGTTCGCGACACTCGCCTCGACTACAACTCCCGCCACTGTTCTCGATGCGACCCAACCTCACGGTTCGGTTGGTAACCCGCGCTCCGGACCTCCGCCTCGACATATCCCAACCTCGGCGCTAGGCCCGTAGCGCACCCCAACTCCTCACGTTACCGTTACCACTCTACTTCGCTATATATTCTCCGCGCATGCCTTCGCTCATTGGATTGTTTTGCTTCGATAGTGCAATTCTCGCTCGCTCGCTCAATTGCACTCGTAACACTTGGTATTCAGAGCCTACAATCTCCTCTCGGACCGCACCCACACCTTCGCTTCCCCACTATCTCATTTTTTGGGGGGGGGGGTAGACGTCTCTCAGCGAACAAGCACCGCTGCTCGAAGTGCTCTATCGTAAGCACGCACGGCCACGACAGAGGCTCTCGCTGAGCTTGCCCGACACCCCCGCCATGGCCGAAATTAATCTCGCGACACTGACGCAGGAGCAGCTCGAACGTCTCCTGCGCCAACTCGAAGATTCGGAGCTCGAAATTGCGACACTAACGGCGGAACGCGACTCCGCTCGCCAGCAATCGACGGTGAATGCACCAGCACCAACACATGCACCTGCAAATGCACCTGCACAATCGGAGGAGCCGATCGTCATCTATCAAGGACACCGACACATAACGACAGCGTGGGACAACACCCAGGCGTAGCCAGTGATGGCGCCGCCCACTCAATGCCTGGCATGGAGAGGAAAAGGGCCGCAACAGGCACACAAGTGTCAAAACATATATGCTTACATTGTTCTAGGCTGTAGAGGATTCATCTTTAGGGGGTACAACATTTCTCTCGACATTGTACTTGTACCCCCCCCCCCCCCCCCCCCCCTCCCTTCACCTAATGCCATCATCCATTCTCGACTTTAACATGGTATTAAGAGTAGTTAGGTCCTTCAGTTTTTTTTTAAGAACGTAGGGTTACCACTGCCCCTTCTGCTGCCTGTCGCGCGCCCCTAGGCCCGTCGCCAACGGCCCCGTCGCCCCGCGGCCCTTCGTTTCTGGCCCCGCGACCCCGTCGTTCCCGGCCCCGTCGCACCTAGGCCCCGCGGCCCCTTCGTTTCTGGCCCCGCGGCCCCGTCGTTCCCGGCCCCGTCGCACCTAGGCCACGCGGCCCCGTCGTTCCAGGCCCCTCGGCCCCGTCGGCCCCTAGACCCCGTCGCCCGCGGCTCGTCGCACCTAGGCCCCGCAGCCCCGTCGTTCCCGGCCCCTAGGTCCCGTCGCCCACGGCCCGTCCCCTCGGCCCCGTCGACCTCAAGGCCCCTAGGCCCCGTCGACCTAGGCCCCCGGCCCCGTCGCCCCTGGCCCCGTCGACCTAGGCCCCCCGGCCCCCGCGATCCCGTCGACCTAGGCCCCCGGCCCCCCGCGACCCCGTTGACCTAGGCCCCCGGCCCCGTCGCCCCCGCCCCCCGCGACCTCGTCGACCTCGGCCCCGCGGCCCCGTCGACCTAGGCCCCCCGGCCCCCGCGACCCAGTCGACCTAGGCCCCCGGCCCCCGCTACCCCGTCGACCTAGGCCCCCCGGCCCCTCGGCCCTGTCGCCCCTGGCCCCGCGGCCCCAACGCCCCTCGGCCCCAGGCCCCTCGGCCCCGTTTCCCCTGGCCCCGCGGCCCCGTCGACCTAGGCCCCCCCCGCCCCCCCCCCCCCCCCCCCCCCCCCCCCCCCCGGCCCTGTCGTGTTTGGCCCCTCGTCCCCTCGATCCCAGGCCCCTCGGCCCCTAGCCTCGGCCCCTCGGCCCCCCCCCTTCGTGTTTGGCCCCTCGGCCCCCAGGCCCCTCGGCCCCTAGCCTCGGCCCCTCGGCCCCCACCCTTCGTGTTTGGCCCCTCGGCCCCTAGGCCCCTCGGCCCCCACCCTTCGTGTTTGGCCCCTCGGCCCCTAGGCCCCTCGGCCCCTCGGCCCCTAGGCCCCTTGGCCCCTAGGCCCCAGGCCCCTCGGCCCCTTGGTCCCTCGGCCCCTCGGCCCCCTGGCCTCTCGGCCCCTCGGCCCCTCGGCCCCCTGGCCCCTCGGCCCCTGGCCACTAGGCCCCCGGCACCTCGGCCCCTTGCCCCCCCAGGCCCCCCGGCCCCTCGGCCCCTACTGCTACTCTTCCTACTGCTGCTACTGCTACTGCTGCTACTGCTACTGCTGCCACTGCTGCTCCTCCGTACTGAGCCCCGATGGCTTCGCTTTGAGTTTTAGCGTTTGATCATGAGGGCAGACCACTTCAGTTTGACACGTGGCTTGACGATCTGCAGCTGTACCTACTAAGCGATATTAAGGACAGTGTTTCACTGTTTGACCACGTGTCCGGTGCCGCTACTGCCCCTCCCGCCACAGCTGACAGTGCGACTCACTCACAGTGGCATTCTCGCGACGCTGCTGCCCGCTTAGCCATTCGCAACCACCTGCCTTTAGCCGAATGCGCTCACTTCGGACAGCACAGGACCGCACAGGCACTGTACGACGCTGTAGTTGCTCGCTACTCCTCCCCTGCCACTGCTGCTCTAGGCCGCTTAGTTCTGCCCTACCTGTTCCCCGAGCTGTCTGCCTTTGCCACAGTCGAGGACCTGGTTTCCCACCTTCGCGCTAGCGACGCTCGCTACCGCGCTGCCGCCCCCGCTGAGTTCCTTGACAGGAACCAGCCCCCGATGTTCATCACCCTCTACTTCATAGTCACTCGCCTCCCTGACTCTCTTTGCTCTGTCAGGGACCACTTTTTCTCTCTTGACCCCACCTCCCTCACTGTTGACCTCCTCAAGCAGCATCTCCTCGTCGCTGAGACTAGTGCGGTTGCTGTAGGTGCTGCTCGTGGCACTCCGCGCCCGCCCTTCTTTGAGGGGTGTTCTCCCTCCCCCCTTGCCCCCTCCTACGCCTCTGATGCTGCTGCAGACGTCTCTGTTGCTGAGGACGTTGGGGCTGCTTCTGCTAGTGCGAAGCACCGCAGCAGCAAGGGCAAGGGTGGCAGGGGTGGTGGAGGTGGCAGCGGTGGTGGAGGAGGTGGCAGCGGGAGTAGTGGTGGGGGCAGCACTGGGGGTGGTGGCAGCGGTGAGACTGGTGGAGGGAGTGGGGGTTCTGGTGGCGGCGGTGGAGGCAGCGGTGGGAGTGGCGGCAGTGGCGGCGGTGGGACTGGTGGCGGTGGGACTGGCGCTCGGCGTGTTGGTTATGGAGGTGGCCAGCGTCAGCAGCAGCAGCGTCGCAGCGAGACCCAGTCGCCCCAGCAGCTTCGTGAGTGGTTTTTGCAGCGTGGGGCGTCTGGGGGTAGTGGTAGCTGCCCATATGTCATTCGCACGGGTGACCGTGCTGGTCAGACTTGCGGGCGGCTCCACACTCAGCACCGCTGCTTCTCCCGCCTCGACGACGCTTGGCGTGCTGAGTTTGGTGATGATGCCGAGCTCCCTCGCTGGGCAGAACTGCTTAGGTCTAGGATTGCTATCTTTGACCTAGACTTTGATGCTATTCTTTCTGCTATGTATGCTTTGTCTGTTAGTGCTGAGGGTGACTGTTACCGGTGTGTGCCGCCTGACCCAGGTATAGCTGCTGCTGCTCTAGGTGCTAGTGAGTCTGGTACTCTCCCTGAAACTGCGCCTGCTCAGGCCTTGCACACTTTCACGTTGGACTCAGGCGCCTCGCGCTGCTTCTTTCGTGACAGCACTACTCTCACTCCTCTCCTTGCACCTGTCCCGGTCAGACTGGCTGACCCCTCTGGGGGCCCGGTCGTGGCTCGTTCCTCCACTGTCCTCCCGTGTCCGGCGGTTCCGTCCAGCTCATTGTCAGGTCTTCACCTCCCCTCGTTCTCTACGAACTTGGTGAGTACCGCTGCCCTCCAGGATGCGCTGGTCACTACCACCACTCCAGGGGGTCAGCGTGTGTCGATCTGCACGTGCACACGAACGGGGCGTCACTTGGCCACGTTCACTCTTCGGCCAGGGTCGAGTCTCTACACACTAGCTATCGAGCCTCCTCAGGTAGTTGTGTCTGCTCAGGTCAGGTAGCCGCCTCTTGCTCGTGTCGCCTCCTGTCGCACCAGACTCTTCTGTGGCACCACCGCCTGGGTCACCCCTCCCTGCCACGCCTTCGTGGCATGCACTCCCGACTTCTTGTCTCTGGTCTTCCCGGGTCTCTGCCTCCCCTCCC